CCTAAAGAAAAACCATACTATTTATCAGAAAATAAACATGGATTATTAAGTTTAATTAAAAGGTAAAATTAATGATAATAATAATAATAATAGTTGAGCATGATAGATATATAGACATACCTGTGGCCATTGAGCAGCATCCATGAATCCAAAGGAAAAAAGGTGAAGAAAAAGGCAAGAAAATAGATGAGATGAGATGAGATGATGTCTTTTGAGATGGAAAAGAGGGAAGAGAAAGGCTAAGAGAGAAAAATAAAAATCAGCTCCTTTTAATTTTGTCTGCAAATGGACTTAATTTTGCAAGAAAGAATGTTTGTGATTGTTTGTGTGATGGCTTTATGTGTAGGCCTCTCACTTTATGATGTAAGAGAGATGGCCTATGACCTTGATGGGGTTTGTTTTGACGTATGTTCCTACCTAGTCTCTTTTACTCTATCATACAAATAAACTACTTTTATTTACACTTCGTTTTCTCGCTGTTGTGGATGTAAACTAGTTTTGTTGGTTAAATTGTTGGATGATGGTATATAAGACGTGAAATCAAATTCTATATATGTCATCAATTTTTCTTTGTGTCTCTCTTTAGTCTTTACACCAAAAAAAAAAAAAAAAAAAAAGTCCCCATACTCTAATAAAAGGCAAAAAATAAACTTGTGCATGAATGTACACCAATTATATATATAACACAAGATTAATGTATATATAGATTGAATTAAATCATCTCAAATTACGTGAAAGTTAACTTTGTAGTGTAAATGGTAAATTTAATGTGATTATAGGGTAAGTGTAGTTGTATACAATACAACCTTGTTATACACTATATATTTTGCACTCCATGATAAATTGTCCTTTTTATTATTTCTTCCTCAATTGATTATGAATAAAATAATTAAGAAAGTTCAATTATACCAATACTTGGAACACCAATAATTTTTGTTAAACATTTTAAAATAGTATATGTATGTGATAAATATTTTTCAATAGTGTGAATATATGTTAATTAGCTGGACTTATTGAGTCTTAAATTTGATTAAATTAATCGATCATAGTAATGATGAAATGTAATTTTCAGATTATTTTAAACATGTTATTTGAAGATGGTAGTGGAGCTCCTTCAAACAAATTGTGTATAATATTCTTTGATTGTGGAAATATGATGTGTGCCTCCTGTGGTGGGTTTTCTGCTTTTTGACCAGAAGATAGGGAAAGTTTTTATTCTTTGTTCTCTTCTCACCTTTCTGTCATTTTTATATGTTTTTTTATTACCATTTTTCTATTGCTGGGTAAATTAGGGCTTATTTTCCTTCATACTAATTATGTTGCATGCATAAATGATTTTTCTAATCTCTTTTACAGCTCAGGGTTATTTTAAATGTTTGCTAGCTATATATAATTATATATGCAGTGTATACAAATGAAAAAAAAAAAAAGTTAAGACACTTTTAATTTAGAACTTCTCCAATTTCAAAATGAGTGTTTATATTTATGTAAATGGAGTTCAGTTATACTGTTCACACTTCATGATAAAATTACTCGTATCATTGATCTTTAAATCTTGAGGAAAATAAAGTTCACTTTGAAAAATGTAAATGATGACAGTAATTATTTAGGAATAAATCGATAACTCAAGAACACACTAGAGATAACATATGTTTTAAAAGAGCATATTAATATATACCGTGTTTTGACATAAAATAGTGATTTACCCCTAAATACAAATGAGTACAAATAGTAAAATGTCACCAAAAGGGCATAAATTATAGTCATGTTGATCAACGTTACTGTCTCTTCACATCAAATAAGCATAAAAAAAGGTTAATACAAATTCTTTTTTTCCTCTCTCTTTCATGCTTTAAGATAAGAAAAAGTATGTTCCCTGGAATTATAAAGAGAGTCTTAAGAAACCGACCTTTTCTTTTGCTCCGTTGGCCTTTGATTCGGAGAATTTCTCCAGCTCAGTCTTATTTATTTGTTGATTAATTATTAATTAGTTACCCCTTTTTATTACAAAGTGGATATCAGATCATGTATAGACCTACTTCCATACATTATAATTTTTATATTGTGCTGTAATGTATAGTATATGGTTATTAATTGGGATTTTGTCGATTGTCTTAATATGTTATTAGAGTAGGATTAGTTTTCGTCCAGTAATTTACTATATGTTTTTTCCTGATTATATTGGAAAACAGATGTCTAGCAGTGATGGATAAATAATTTTTATAATTATGTAACATTAATATAAAACAATGTACAAAGTATTATTCTAGATGTCTCAGTGAGTCACTACATGTTTGTATCAATCATCATGTATTTATCATTCTGTTATTATTATTGTAACGAAGATTTGGTTGGATGAGAAAAGTTTACAAGAAATTACGTATACTAAGTAATTTTCAGGATATTTATGTCACGTGATAAGGTTTACATCTATAATGTGTTAGAAACACATTAGTACAACAATTAAAAGTAAAAGGCCAATACTCCGTTTTACTAAGAATTGGACCATCCGGTTCCTAAGCATCCGACTCTGGCCAATATAGGCATAAAACATCATCTTCACCAAGGGTTGTACAAACTATAAAGTACGTACGTACAGTACGCCCTCTGTTTATTTTATGAAATAGTAAGCATCCTATGACAAATTGACCAATGCTTATTACTCGAAATAGGCAAAATTTAACTCATGTCTCAATCTTACTATAGCTTAAATTGGTGACTATTTAATCAGACAGATTTTGCGTAATTAAATTAGTGGACAAAAAGGTCTTCATACAGATCATCATAATTTAAATCATGGACTAATACTAGGCGGTGATAATATATTTGGCCTTGTCAGATTAACATATTTGGAAATAATGCTTATATAATCAATTGACATTAATAAAAAAAACAAAAACCAAAAGACAACTTAATTAAATTAGGTATGCAATTTCATATTCACTCGTGGCCGTATTTATTAGTTGCCCTAAGTTAGCTAAATATGCTTACTTGAGTTCATCAGTAAGATTCTATAAATGGTGAATTATTTGTCAATTGTCATGTGTGAGGATCTTCAATACATCGAGGAGTTTTAGTGGATATCACACTTAAATTTTTTGGTAAACTCGTTCTTTTAACTTGAGGAAACAAGAAAGAGATAGGTTTAGTTTTTGCAAATAGTTGTAAATCTATGCTAATTGATTTGTGGATCATGCAAGTCAGTTGAAATAGTAGAGCTTGTAGCAGCGATAAAAAATATGAGTTTGATCTCTCTATTTGCACCCTTTATTAATTGAGGATCAATTTTAAGATAAACCTTGTTTAATTTACCTTATTTCTATTTATTTCTTGGAATAAGTTCATGTACAATATAAGCTTATAAGATAATTGTAGGTGAAATAAGTACAAAAATTACTCAATAACTTTGTGTTTAGAGAGCTACAAGAGCGGAGATGAGAATTGGTACTATAGGATCCCCTGATATTAAAAGGAATGCTTAACCATTTGAACTATTTCTCACTCTCGATACATAAGCTCCTAAAAATTTCTGGTCAAATAGATCCATATCTTAGCTCTTAGGGAATGGGATGCAAGCCAAATGTTAATGTATTATTAACAATTTAACAGTAATAATAGTATTCGTAACAATAATAATATGGAATAAAGCTTGTCTGACAATTGAGAAATCCAAAATTTGTATTTAACCAGAAAAAGTTTGCTAAAAGTAGCGTAATTTCAACTTTAGTCCACACTCTAGAGGAACAGCAAAAATCAAGTACAGTAAAGTATAACTAACTCTTAATACTCTACTCTAATCACAAAAAAGTCCGTATTTTCTTTCAAATGAACTGTTCTTATAAAGGCGTATGGTCTACTTTTTTAGAGCTTTTTATAGAACTTTTACACCATAGATTATATGATGGGTCGTTATAAATCATTATCATAAAAAAATAAATGTTGTTTTTAGCTAAACATCAACCTGAAAGAAAAATTCTAGATCACGTGACCCAAACTTTTGGTTAATTACTCTCACTCTAATTCAGAATTAAGGGTTAATTTTACTTTAATTGCATAAAGTTTAGTGGACTAGTGGTATAGGGGCGGCAGACAAAGTCCTAGCTAATTACAACGTAATCCATATTTTGATGATGGGTAGGTTTTTGGGAATAGTTCCATGTTCTATTTTTAGTTTTGTTTGGAGGGAAATTCTACTTATAGTATAAGCAAATCTTTAAGCCACGAATATCCAGAAATATGTAAAAATTGGAAGCATTATTGGCCAACAGCAATAAAAAAATTTCACAAAGGAAGTATTTATAAAAGGAAATAAATAAATTAGCCCTTTAACCTTTTTCACAATAATAATGAATAATGTTTAATTGTTTTTTTAATCTATCTAGACAACATTCTCATATGCTCGATAACTAAATGATCTTCACAATAAATTTGAGTAAAAATTTTGATATAAAAAAGTTGATTTCAATTATCATATTATACGAAAAATTGATATCAAATATATATGCGGAGTATCTATTTATCTATAGCTAAAGTAAAAAAAGGGTTGATTAGAATCTTGAAGTGATCTTGTTTGACCTCCAATGTCAAAATTCACAACCTATGATTGAAAAGAGAGATACTACGTAGAATCAAAATGACAATATTGACCATACAAAATTCCATCTAAAACTATTGAAAAGATTTCTGGAGGATCCTCACCTCTTGTAGCAGGGCATCCATATTCTTCTCTGATGGCTCTCCTTCAACGGTTCAACCCCAAACAGAACTTTTCTGGAGGTGTGAGCATGCATGTATCTGCGACGAGGCTCAATCTCTGGATGAGAGTCTAGATACAAAGTTTTGAACTTTTGTTAATTTATCGTCATAGGTGTTGGCTAAACTATACTAGCTTGATGTAAAATAAATACGAATATATTCATATGAGTACAATGATAATTCAAGTGACATAACATGGAATGAAATTATAAATTTTAGCTAGATATATGAAGATAATACGTTGGTTTTGCTCAATACTAGAATACTAGTAAAAACAGTGTCTCTTCCATTACAAAATAAAAAGGTTTATGGCATATAACAATGAGAAACCAAAATCATGCTCATATCAGAAAAAGAAAATCTAAAAGAACATGCGACAATTCTGTACAAAAGATAGTATCTATTTATTTGTTCATCATCTCTTTGGAGAGTAGAGGCAGAAGTTTAGGCGATACAAAAGCATTACATCATCCATAATCGTTTTCCTTTCTGGTTTTCCTATACAGTAGTGTCCTTCCGGCAGCTGGAGAAAGGATCAGAAGTCACCTTTGAATGTTAAAACGAGCTGACTGCCTTAGATGCCTTATTATTCACCATTGATACCAAAGATCCGGACCTTATGCATATGTGGAAATTTGGCTACAACCAAGATGATCATTGCAATGGTGTTGAAGAAAAGCATTGGGTGCTGGTAATCTGTTGTATGTGAGGCTATCAGGTACCTGTAAACAAAATATTCTTCATTATATAGTCAACAAATATCCAACTGTATTGATTTCTGCTCTAGTCAAATGAAGGTCCTTATACTACGTATTAAGAAGATTGCGAAGAACTTCAACATCTAAAAGAACCGAAGGGAACAGGCAAAAGGAAAGAGATCCTCACAATGCCTTAGCTGCCAAGGCATGAAAACTAAGGAAGACTATTTAACCACTAACTTCAGAAAAAGGCCTTGAATCATTCTACACTTCAGACCCATAACAAGTTTGATTTTAAAACGAAATCATAATTATTTACAGAACTCTTAATCTTAAGCTGCATATGTCTCCGATTATACATTTCAATCAGGTACATCAAGATCTAGGTGTCACATTCTATACTGGAAAAATAATAAAGACAGCATCAGAACTCAGGTATCATATTCAGAACTTCAAAGGAAGCACCAGGTCATAAACTATTAAAAATTCCTTATCACAGTGCCCCCACCAACTAAAACAGCACATGGCAGAAGCAAAACAGTTTCTGGAAATCGAAATACTTCCAAGTCATTGCTAGCCCCTGCTAGTCTATAAAAAAAATTGCTGCTAATTTTATCACAAAGTATATTATACAGACAAAAAAAAAAAAAAAACCATTTAAAATTTGAAAAAGTACGATGCATGTTAGACAGAATAAAAGCTGCAAAAGATTTAAAACATGGGAGAACTTATGTCAAATATCCAGGCAACAAAGAGGAGGATGGGTACAGTAAAATAGGCCCAAAGATCATGCTTTGTAGAAAGCCTTCAACATCCCTGGGCCAAGAGTGCCCTCATGCCTCAAAACTATAGCTCCGAGTTATGATGATCACTCTACCAAGGTGTCAAATCTCAACAAAGGGTGCATAAAGGGCCACTACAATTGATTTGGGACCTCATAAGTTGCCTCCAGCAAAAATTGTGTTACGCAGTAGATGGATAGTCACAGTGTCACTGATTCACTGTCGCTCTATAAGTACTAAGTTATAGGTGGTGATTTGATGCACATGGCCCAAGACAAAATATTTCAATCTCATAATAATGGACCTACAAGCTCCTTTGAGCTGCCTAGAATCTAGATACCCTTAGGGCTTGATGGCTATCCCTAGAGAGATAAATAGTCAAAACCATTTACTCAGTTGAAATATCTTCACTTTACAAGGCCTTGTTTGATTCCCCAATCCCCACCTGTAAATTTTCCCATGGAAAGTTGAAGAAACAAAGCAACAGATTGCTGAGTTCATCACCTTGCAAATAATGCAGCAGACGTTTTGTTTACAATATATTTCCTTGGCAAGCCCAAAAGTAACATAGATTGTAAAAAAACATCTTCACACTCCATCTCAAATGTTAGCACCATCATCCAAGAGACAAAACCCATGAAATCAAAATTTGCAATTTTTATCTCTCTTCTTTAACAACTATATCATGATTGAGGGAGCACATTACAAAGAAAAGATAGGGAATAAAGACAAGTCATCTCTATCAAGAAAAAAAAAAAAAAAAAAAAAAAAAAGACATCCAGTTTTTTTCTCTTTATAATAAAAGAGAGAAAAAGTTGGATTGAGGGATATGAACAATTAAAAGTGTAAAACTGAGCCAGCAACAGAGATGGAGTCAAAATAACATAGCAAAGCTTCCATTTATTCGAAGTTAGTCATTAGCTTCTTTAAAAGCAAAGGAAGAGTCATTAGCTTCTTTAAAAGCTAAGGAAGAGTCATTAGCTTCTTTATAAGCTAAGGATGTCCTAAGGAGTAAGCACCGACCCCTTCTGTGAGCTAGACATAGAAAAATTTCCCACTACCCTGATATTGGAAGTTCCTGCGATCACTGACACCAAACCAAACAAGGGCTAAACGGACATCAAGACTCTAATTGCCCCTTCATTATTCTATGTTCGCGTATATGTAATCTCCAATTACAAGCCACTCACATGAGCACAAATTCAAGCCTCAACACCATGCCTAAGCCTTTTGACCAAATTTCATATATTTATTCCCCAATCCTTCATCTTACATTCTTTACTTTTCAAACTGTTCACCTAGGAAACATGAGCCAGTTATGAGCAGAGCACAGAACTTTTGACATTTTCATGACTTCTTTTACTTAAACTATTCAATCTGTTCACTTTGAAACCATGATCTAGTTATGGTTATGACTAGCAAGTTGACACTGGGTCCTCAAGACCATTTCGGAATACTCAAGAAATTGTGTGGTACGGTGAACATGCTTTGGGCTTCAGATTATTAGGTTAAGACTTTTGTTTGGGTCTTTGAAATTCTGCGCACAATTGGATAGGAGGATTTGTTTCAAATTTTGACAATTATAAATAATTTCACCTTTATCTTGACTTTGTTTCTCCATTTCAAGATCTTAGCCAAATTGGTTTTTCCATATTCAAGTTAGTTTGTACCAACTGTAAGGGACCTGTTTCTGTACTATATAAGTAATCACTTAAGGCATCAGATAGACTTTACCCATCAAGACATAAGATTACTAGGTGGATGGGTGGGGAGAGTAGGAAGAGTAAAAAAGAAAGATAGAAAGCCACTATCATGACTACACCAAAGCCTTTAGCTCATAAATTCAAGTCGCAATTGGCTGAAAGGTTATACATCATCTAAAGAAAGACTAAAAAAACTGATCTCAAAGTATCCGCAAAACCAAGGTCACAAAGATAAGGTTCACAATACGTTGCCAAAAAAATTTCGATGGATAAAACATGAGATATGTGATACATTGTATTTGACCACTAAGCCTATTCCTCGTGGTTACAAGCAAATTCACCTCCTTCATCATGTAATCACACTCAAAAACATCAATTCCTAAGTCTCCAATGTTGCTTTGACTCTCAAACCACATTCAGCAGTTAATTTACAGCATAGTGGTTCACTGACTTAATCCTTACGACAAGAACACAGACTTCAACAATGAGAGACAAAAAATTACTAGAGCTCTAGTAGCCACCACTATCATTATTCATTATCATCACCATTACCTAATGCCTCTAACAACAATTGATTATGCTAGATTGAGGTGTATCAAATGCAACATAACCTTTTCCGTATTAGTGCAAATAACTCTGTGAGACTTACCTCAAGGCAAATGAGATAAGAGTCAAATTGAACCTAAGGGCTAAGGCTCAATTCTCTTCACTTTTTTATTTTTTATTTTATTTATTTTTTATTGATTATGTGTTTTTGGTTATACAAGGAACTATATAAACACATTTTTAATAGAGAAAAATAATTCATTCATTTTTATTTACATATCAAATCGGTTTTGAATAAATATATTATAAAAAGTTAACGAGAGTATGGCGCCTAATCTGGGTACTGCCTAAAAATTGATCAAATTAACGTCTTCTACATCTGAAGCAAATCTAAAATTATACAGCAATGAAGGAGTTAAAACACTACTGACTAGCCCAACTGTAACATCAGTCATTACTCCTCACAACAGTGCTATTTGTCCACTAACTAAACACCAAGGAATCCCCCCTCCCTCCTCTATTTTCATGTACCAATCTAGTAACTCAGCCATGAGGATTCTAAAACTATCCGAGCTCTAAAAACCTCATCCCCATTCTCCAGGTTTTATGACTACACTATTCAGGTAAACTTGACCTCATGACTTAGTAGCCATTTTAATTTGAATAGTAAGTTTGTAATGTCTACGATGGTCATTAATTAATATCTTAGAAAAACCCCCCCATTTCGATTCTATTCCCTACTCGTTTGTATGTTGGAGGATTACATGAATATATGTCATCTTTTGAGTCCAAATTTTGACACAGAATTCAAGCCACGAAAGTACAATACCTAAAGGGTAAAAATAAGTGGATGAGCCCCCTCCTCACCCTTTCAAATGACTTGAAAGATTTTGTGTCAGTTAAATCCACCTGAAGGTGTTCTACATTTTCACCAACTCAAGCAATATTGGAATCCTATGTCCACCAAACCCCATTTAATGATGAAGTATCCTATTGTTCATTTGTTCATGCAATGCTTTCACGTGAGAAGAATAACTCCTATAAATGATTTAGAGATCAGACAAACCAGAACTACAATATTCAGGGTGCTAGCATTTCATTTGATAACTAACCAAAACAACTATGCATCAAATACAATAAAATCAACATATTAAGTATTTTTGGGAGTTACTTACAGCACAACAGGCACAACAGTCAGGAATTTCCTGTTACGTGTAAGCTGCTTCCCATTGTCAACTTGTTCCCACCAAGTCAAACGATTATATATTCCCTGATCATCAGAGAATGGGGTACCTTTCTTCCAGTGAAAGAAATGATATGTGACCTGATCAGAGAAGTAAAAACATCAATTGGACAGAAAAGAGATCCATATTAGAAATATCTAAAATAAAACAGTATTCATGTAACGTTTACTAATTCTTTCTACATAGTTCATAGCTCTCCCACTACCACCAGGAAAAGGGAAGGAACAATGAAAAATAAAAGAATCTCATTAAAACATCAATCACAAGAAAAATTCCCTGAAGAAATTAGGCAATTCAAAAGCTAATCAAACTCGCATAAATGCATATACAACCATCCAAAGTTCCTCCACTTTTCAAAGCAGAAATTTAGGGATAGGATGAGAAGATCACTTAACTAACTCAAATAAGCAATTGCCGCAGTGCCAACTTTTATCAATCACAAACTTATTTATATTCAGCTAAGGTTTTGATATGTGTCTTACACATGTAAAACAAGGTTAGCAAGACAAATTCTGTCATTTCTAAGGACATAGGACATAGAAAATGATAAGCAACAACTATCATTTTTTTTTCTCTCCCAAATTATGTCTTTCATTCAAACTTCGAGTACAATTCCTTCCTAAACAACAATGGCAATGCCCTTTTTTTGCTAAACAAGACTGAACTGTTATCAGACTATCAATCCACACCCCCAATGATTGACAAAGCTACCCTGATTGAAATTCATTATTGAAAGAAATTGCATAGCATATTTTTCCAACAGACTAAAAAAATTAAAGATCAAAATTACATTTGAAGTTAAGTAGCTGGTATATGAATTTGCTATAAAAAAATTAAAGATAAAATCAAAGGTGAGGTTCTTGCCTATAATCTCCTTACCAATACCATGCTTTATAGGGAACAATTGAAGGTTAAGACTTCAAAAACCACATTGAGCATAAAACGTGTTGATGTCATAAGTTCTTATGCTACTTTAACTCCTAACTATCTACTTGAATCAAACATTTTAACTGACAAAATGGCATAGGAGACAAAACAACGGTGTGTAGTTCAAATTATCAAAGGCTCAAAAATAAATTCAACTACATAATATGCAATATGCAGAGAAAAAATATAATGATCTTGGAGGCCATAGCAATAAATTGGACTACAGAAACAAGTTCCTTAACCAACTCTAAAGCCTTCTCTCCATTGCACTCCTCAAGTCCTCATTAGAATCCACCAGGTTGGCAGGTTTAACTCCAAGGCCCAAACCCTATCATAGAAAGATCTCTGATAACAATTGAGCCATAGGAAACCTTTTCATGTATTGCACAAGGAAGATCAGTTGACAGAGCTAGGCAAGGCAGCAATACTACTTATCAGGTCTGATAAAAGCTCAAAACCAAAATAACTATATGGGTGTGTGTGTGTTCAATGACTTCAATCTTTCCCCTTCCAGCTCATTGCCATTAGGAAAATAAGGATGGGCTAGGTGATAAAAGGTAAAGCATGATTCTTTGATAAAAAAAACGAGGTCTTTTTTTTCATGACAACAGTTTGTGACCATAAAGAGTGTGCTTCAGCTATTTGATCGAGTTTTTTTTTAGACAACAGTTGCGACTGAGTGTGCTTCAGTTGTTGAATCGAATTTCTTCCATGACAACTGTTGTGAGTCGTGACAACCGTGACTATAAAGAGCGCACTTCGGTTTTAAAATCTTGTGCAGGTTAATTTGTAGTTGAATAGTAACATTTCATATCAACTTGTGTAAAGTAAGCAAAATAGGGGTTTCTCTCCACCCAAGAATGAGTAACCTATATACTAAGGTTTCACCCATTCATGATACAACAAAAGCTTTTCGCAACCTGAAAAATATGCTCTTCCAGTCACGTATAAGAGCACACACTGAAAAATCTTTACCTCTCAGACAGTGGAGTTCAAGAAGACATTTAACAAGTGCAAATAGAAACTAAACTAAAAACTCTTGTACTCTAGAAAGGATGCATCCACACTTCTATAACACATATTTAACCTCATCCTTCCACTATACAGTAACGTTTTCATCCCACACAAATCACATAATTATAGAACAAAGACTAAAATTAGTAAAATTCAATCACATACAACATTCGCAAGAGCTCAAATTGAACAAAATATGATGAATTGCTGAATTCTAAGAGGCGAATTAAACCACGACATAATCAAATAATCAATCAATTGCAACAATTGAGCAAAAAAGTACCGAAAACCTAACGAAATTGAGGAGAGAGAAAGAGCGTACAAGAAAGTGAGCGAGATTGACGACGGTCCAAGCCATGCCAGGAGAACAACCAAAGACAGAAAGAACGAGAAGCCATGAAAAGAAGAGGAACAAGATGTATGTTGTCCAAACTCCAGGATATGTAAACCACTCTGTGTTCCTATTCAGATCCGCAGGTGGCGAAGCTTTCACATACAAATTCGCCATTGTTGTACAAGCTTACTCTGTAAAACCTCCAAAAATTCTTCGAATTTGATTTGATTCCAATTGAATTTGATTTGATTTCAATTGGATTGAATTTGATTGGATTGAATTAGGTTTAGAAAGAAAGAAATTGAATTGATTAATTTGGAAAATTTGTGAGTTTCTCTCTCTCCTCTCTTAAATTGATTTGATGATGAGTGGGTGGATTAATTCCTGGAAACATGCATTTTTGATGATCTTTTTCTCTAATTTACACCTTCTGACAAATAAAAGTGATAAAAAAAAGGGAAAGAATGCTTGATATTTTTTCCTTATTTTCTTGTGTGTTTGATTTTGGTTTGTGGTATTGATGGCCGACTTTTTTTGACGATACTATGTGTAAATTGTGGTCCAATTAGTGTGGGTTGCATTGAATTGAATTGGATTTCTTAAGCCCAATGGACCTATTTTAATGTCTACTTGTATTGATTATGCTTATAATCTACCCATATTGAAAGGATCTGTGTGTGAAGGTGAACTAAACATCTTTGAGTATTACGGAGAATGAAATTTAATTTGTGAAATCAAATGACAAGCCGAGTAATTAAATAAGTATTACTTCGTATAATATTACATCCATGAGATTATTTCATGTCTTGATGATGATAGTTTATGATACAATGAAAAGTTGTTAGTCAAACGAAATACTACGTATATGTGGTGAAAAGAAGCATCTATCAAACAAGACCAACATACTTTACTATTGGATGTCTTAAGTGAAAAAAATTGATACATACATAATCTATGTTTGAAAGACGTCTTGATTTGATTAGCCTATTTAAGCCTATCAATATCCTTCATATTATTCTCTTACTAAACATTGGCTAAAATCTCTATACGAAATACCATTTCAATTTATATTTTTCTCCTATCGTCCCGCACCATTGTTCATCTTTCTGTAGATAACCTTGCTAGGTCCCTATCCCTAAGCCCATCATCAACGAACCACACGTACACCCATATTCCATCACGTCGCCAAAGTGTTCTTGAAGAGCATGTCTCATCTAATCCATTAATTGTGGGGCGGATAGATAAGTAAAGTTTGATCATGTTTGGTATATAATGTTTTAAAATGGTGAAATTGTAATATTTGTTTTCATTGCTTATTGTTTGGTATGATCGAGGAGTAGTAACACACTTAACTTCCTAAGGTTAACCATACATTATTTTTTGTTATTCTTTCCAACCTTATAATATAAATAACTCAAGTGGTTAGAGCTCTCTCCCGGTTCCAGGTGATCTTGGGATCGATTCTTATTATTTGTCCTTGTGGCTCTCTAAACACCAAAAAAATAATAGCAAAAACATGAGGACATAGGAGATGGAGGGATTTCCAAGTAATTGGGGATTCGATCCTCATCCCCCCATTTCTGTGATAGGGTGGGGAGGACCCCGTATCTTACCGATTTTTTTTTAAAAAAAAAAAAAAAAAAAAAAAAATCAAATGTCGATTTGGCCAATTTGAAACGAGGGATTACTTCCTCAAGTAAACCAATATGTAGCGCACTTAGTCTAGTTCATCAAGGGCCACAAGTACGTTGATCGATATCTTACTTTCAAATCAAATGGAGAGATTTTTTTTTTTTTTTTTTTGGAAGATGGTTATTATAGAAAGGTTGATATGATATTTTATGTAAATATAAAAAAATTACATGGGAACAAAGTTGAGTGACATTTATTGTCATGCATTAGAAAACATGGCAACGAGTGATTAGATCAAATTAAAAAAATCAAAAATAAACATCAAAAACTAACATTTGATAGGCGAGTTAGCTTTTCACATCAAGTTTGTGGAGAGAAATAGTCCGCTTATACAATTATAAGCAAAGAAATCAAAATCTTCATCTCATCTTACTAGTGGCACGTAGCCAATTGGTAATTTACTAATTTAGTATGCTATTTTGTCACCTATGTGACATTTAACGGTGGACAATTTATATTTTTATCTTTTTTTTACATGGATCGTTATAAAATATAATATTTCTTAGTATATACTCTTCTAAAGCATAACTTTATTTCATAATAACATTAAAAAGCTAGGTCATATAAAAAATTTATGCTAATGTTAAAATTGTTAAGAAATTAATTGGATGACCATATTTAATCTTCAGAAATCACCCATTGAAAGCTTTTTCTCCACTTCGATCTAAACGCACTAACAAATAAAAAAGAAGAAGTGCCAAATTAGGTTAACCCTATTATCTCTTGTTCAAGCAAACTTTTCACATATAATGACGTAGGAAAAGTCAACCCAACTATAATGCAGTATTATTCTTAGTATTATTAGGTCATTCTATTCGAACTTTCCTTTGCACGTTTAGTTTCATGCAACAAATTATGCTTTATTCTCGCACCCTCCATTAAAAAGAAGCTTTAGTCTGTAAATTGTAATTTTTAAGAATTAAGGTGCTTGTTTCTGTCCAAAATTGTTTGATCATTTACAATTCTTTTTTATACAAAGCTCCACACTTTTGGATCCAAATGTATACTTCAAAAGTAAGCTAGGTGCAATTTGGAAAGAAAAAGAGTCATAGAATGTCCTAGAAATAACTAGTGAATCAAACATTTTTTTGTGGATTTGTACGACTTTTTATTAATGAAATTGAAAATATTATGAAAAAAATATGACTTTAACCAAAGCATGAGAATGCATGCATGAACTGGAACCAGATCCTCAATTAGGAAATCTAATCCCCGATATACTAGGTCATGAAATAAAAACACTTGAAATTAAGTTTGATACAAGATACTCCAATTAAATTGGATGGTTTTTGAAAGTACATAAAATACGTATACACTCAACTATACAGTACATGATTGTTTTTTTAATTTAGAAAGTAGAAGTAATTTCTTTTAGTTTTTTGTATGGCTGAATCCACGGTTGTTAATTCAGATATACTAGCTGTATACCACTGCCAAACTTCAGCCTTTACGTGTGTAATATGCAATGAATGAAGAACTAAACATAAGATTGTAATATGCATGTATGTACGAGTAGCATATTATAACAATCATCATATTGATAGTGTAGGTGTAAAACTACATTAACATATATATGCACCTTTATTAACTTGATCAGAACACTTGGGTATGATACGATAATCGATTATTGAATTATAACACCTACGTACTCCCTTTATCTTTGAATAATGACCGTAATCTTTCTAAGGAATTAGGTTGAATTATCATGATTATTTCCTTATTCATGTATGTTATTCAAGACGTACTTGCCACTGGTTGTAAATAGCCCTGGATCCTCATTCCTGCGCGCTAGACTGCTTTGTTCCAAACAATACCATATCGACCACAACAAATAAAATTGTCTTTGATTTGAATGGAAACATGAATAAGAAAAGTTTTAGAAGGATCATAATAGTTTGAACTAACGATAAATAATGAGCCAGCGAGCACATATTCATTACATTCTAGCTACAACAAGTCAAGGGTGCTCAGACTCAGACCACAAGTTTGTTTTCTAGAGTAAATTTAGAAGATAGATTATTACTCCGTATTTGATTTTATTTCCGGGCTAGAACATCTAAAACAGTATGAAAATGTGACCTATTATATAGAGACGGAGAGATAAAGCATTGTAGAAAATTTTCCCTCATGTACCAAACTGAGACAGTTACTTTCAAATTAATTAAACATTTGAGTAACATACAGAAAGTTGCAGTACGTGCAAGAATTCGTACAAAATATTTACACAGGCTGCAGACAAAGATAAGTGGGAGGCAGCACTATAAATCTGCTATATTAAATAGGAGCAAATAAATTAAAAAGTTTATGAATAATTTGAAATTGATATAATAAATTACTTGAAGTTGATGTTTAGTTACATGAGGTCACAGAAAACACATACACAACAATTACAACAAGCTAGTGGCTGATCCATAATATACTCCGTATATATTTTACCATATTGTTTGTATAATACCTCCTATGTTTTCTTTTATACGTACGTACTTTTAAGAGGCGATTAGAGAACATAAACGAACAACTTTATCATAATAATGTTATATTAACAGTGTAACACCCAGAATTAACCGGAAAGAGTTAGGTAGCGTGTGTATAAAATGTTTTGATTAGTTTTTCCATTATGTTATCTAATTATCTTCCTCAAAGTATATGTCATGAACCTGTATTGCAAATAAAAGAAAACGGAGGAAGTATTAATTACAAAAATAACATGACAGTACAAGATTGTATAACTAGCTAGCTAGATAATCAGGCATAAACTATTCCAATATAGAAGGATTTATCAATGATAAGGTGGTGTCAATTCCCATGTCAACCTGATCATCCGTCAGACTCCAATATTCATCTGCACTTATCATAAAGGACAATTTCAAGGACCTAAAATTTGTATTTCTTTGGATAATATAGAAATGATAGTGGAATATGAGTTAAAAACACTTGAAAAAATTTAGGTCATGCTTGCTCTTTATATAAAAGGAAGTTAGACTATCTCCAAATTCATAGCAACTCACTCATATTACATTACATATTGCCAAAAAGAGTTGAGAGCTCTTTACTAAACCTGCTCTTAGTCGTACGACTGAACGTACTTATATAATAAGTAGTAGACAAGCTGACACAAGGCAGGCGAATTTTCGTTACAGTACAAAGTACTTAAAGTTCTGTATACTTGTTATCTAGCTAGAATGGTATCTGGTGAGGGAATATCGGGAAGATTGGAATGGAAGATCAATGTGTCTAATGGGACGACGAAGGTTTTAGAGCCGGAAAGAGGGATAGCAGCAAGGATATGGCAGAAGTTACATAGTATGATTGTTATGAAGACATGGAAGTTTTTGGTGGATTCATGGAATATAGGTGTTGCTGATCCTAAGAAGTTTGTTCATTGTCTAAAAGTGGGACTTGCACTTTCTGTTGTGTCTCTTCTGTATTATATGAGGCCTTTATACGATGGTGTTGGTAAAAATGCAATGTGGGCCATTATGACTGTGGTTGTGGTTTGTGAATATACTGTAGGTAAGTTTTAAGGCCGAACTTACCTCTAATTTTGCTGTGAAATTACGAGTATTTCATAACTCGTTAACTGTCGATTATACTTGTATATTGTATGTGTATATATATTATGTCCCTGAGTTGTACTAAGCTAAGATAACTAACCTGAATTTTATGCATGTGTAAATGACAGGATCAACTATATACAAAAGCGTCAACAGAGCTGTTGCGACTGTTGTTGCAGGATCATTAGGAGTTGGGATCCATTGGATAGCAAATCAATGTGATAAACAATATCAGCCTATTTTCCTTGGAGCTTCGGTGTTTATTTTTGGTGAGCTGATTATTTTAATATTATTATATTTAGCTACTTCATTACAACTTCAATACTTGTGAAAACCATATAAATTTTAATATATGTTTGTAGTACAACCGATTGTACCACGTGCATGGTTGTACCATGCATGTAATACAATTGCACCACTGGTTGTATAATAGAAATTGGCGGTTGCTCAGGGTAGTCAAATAAGTCAGTACTCATTCTCAATAAAATTCCTATTTTGCGACGTTCAGATTGTCACAAGTTTGAATCCTGTCATATGCATGCGATCCTTGAGAGTGGAGTTGTGGTCACTAGGGTCCTAAGCTAAAATAACTAAACCCACCACTGGTTAAATAAAATTTCGAAGTATTATTATTGATACTGCAGTAAACAAGTCAATTAATAGTTTTAACTGCACTCAACCCAAACCTTAATTAGGCTAGACTAGTAAGAAGACTGCTTCTGATCTAAAAAGGAAATAAATCAGTAAGATGTAATTTGTATAAAGTTATATTGAAAAGTGGAAGATAATAAAATTCAGACTTAGCTTGTATTTATGATGAGCCTTGCTTCCTGTATGCAGCTTCAACTGCCACCTTTACTCGTTTCATTCCCACAGTGAAGGCTCGATTTGATTATGGTGCCATGATCTTCATCCTCACCTTCAGCCTAGTCTCAATCTCAGGCTATCGCGTGGAAGATTTGATCATGATGGCTCACCAAAGGGTAAGCACAATTGCAATTGGAGTCTCCCTCTGCATCCTCATAAGTATGCTGCTATGGCCTGTTTGGGCAGGCGACCAGCTTCACAATCAAACTATTAGCAACCTCGAAAAACTTGCCAATTCCTTAGAAGGTATACACCACACATTAAATGATTAATGCTTTAAAGTAAATGTCAAAATTCACTTGTAACTATAACTAAGCCATATGTCTAACATAATTTTTACACACAGGTTATATAGCCGAGTACTTCAGCAATGAAGAAACTGCAAAGATCCCTAAGGATGATGTGACCAAAAAGCTGCAGGGATACAAGTGTGTGCTGAACTCAAAGGCATCTGAGGATTCTATGGTAAGCAAATGACAGAATTTGAACATCCATATGTAGCTACTTAGCAATCACAGGACATCCCAAAATCGAAGATAACTTAAAACTAACTAGTTATGATCCTGAATCAGGTGAATTTTGCAATATGGGAGCCAGCACATGGACGTTTCTACTTTGGTTATCCATGGAAGCAGTACCAAAAAATTGGTGCAGCAGCACGCAGCTGTGCTTATTGCATTGATAATCTAAACAGTTGCATTGACTCTGAAATGCAGGTAAACAATTGTGCAGTGGCGATCCACTTGGATTTTTGCGCATAAGCACAAACATATACACAGATAAAAACAATTGCACTACGCTTTCAAAACATACAGAAAACAGAACTTTGTCACAGTAAATAAAACTTGATTTATGATGAATACAGGCACCTGAGTTGTTGAAGCAACATATCACAGAGAGATGCACAAAGTTAAGCCTGTTCTGTTCAGAGGTGCTGAAAGAATTAGCCACAACAATCAAGACAAGGAAAAGATCATCCAGTATCGATTTCTTAGTTGACAAAATGATCTTTGGAGTAGAGGAATTCCAAAATGATCTTAAATCCCTTCCTTGTGATATTGTTCTTTCATTGACAACAGCTGAAAACTCTACTGACAGTAATGGTGAGAAGCTAGAGACCCCAAACCAAGCAACTATGTTGGAGGTATTGCCATTAGGTATGCTAGTGACTTTGCTGATCGAAATTGTAGCCAGAATTGAAGAAGTTGTCAAAGAAGTTGATAATTTAGCAAACATGGCAGAATTCAAGATCCAGAAAGAAAAGAAATTACAAGAGATTCCGAATGAGAATAAGCAAACAAACACCCAAGGCCAAGAAATAATGAAGGCCATTGAAGAGGTCTAAACTTTTGACAGTCATTGACCAAGAACATTTGATTTGCTTACTTCATGTAGAGATCATCTGGTCGTAATATACCATGTGTTCAGTGCACCAGACATTCCCGATCTATAATTTCGACATCTTGTATGTCTGAAATCTTCAACATGCTACCAATCATCTACCAGAATACATGCAGATATAGATCATTCTAGAGCTTTTCTTGTTTGCATGCATGCACCCAGCTCATGGTTTGAATTGAATATCACAAAATCTTGTCAAAAAAAGAAAGGTTACCTTCCAAGAGATTTAGGCTGAGAAAACTCCCAAGTTGACGGTTATGTGTATAATTTCTCAAACACAAATATATTGTATCTCCTAACAATTATCTACCATCATCCATACTTGAAAAATCTACAAAAAATTATTTCACACACTTGAGCATAAACTTCCATGATTTCATTGATTGGAAATTCACTGAAGTTACAACTTACAAGGTTTCAAACAGACGATAAATATCAACGTGACAAAAATTAGAATTATTCATGACAAACACCCATATGACACTTGTGAATTCTAATGAGAAGATATATGTACTTGGCTCAACACGTGACTTAGATATGTCATGTATGTCACAGAGTAATCAGTGCAGTTGAAGATCCTTCATCAGGAATTTCTTCTTCCGCGGACTCATTCCAACCGAGGTTAACAGCAAGGTCCTCTACCGCTACCTTAATCACATCAGTACGGACCCCAATATCTGTAGCATAACGGCTCATACAGTACATCCCGGCTGTCACAGTAGCTACACCCACAGGACTTGGCATCAACAACTTGAGAGGAGAAGAAAGTAGAGCAGCCAGTGGGGCCCCAATGACAGAAGAAGCTTGACCACTTCTTCCAACCCCTACTTTATCAATTAACAATAGACCAGTTTTACAGTACAATGCAAAGTCCTCACAGTTGTTCTCGAATACATTATAGTTCCCAAACCCATTTTGAAGAAGATACATTGCCCGGTGGATGACATACTCAGGTGGATCAGGTTGGGCAGTGGTGCATGTCCCACCCCTTACTTTGGCAATAAAGGCAGATGGGGTTACTCCATATTCAAATAAGTAAGGTGATCCATTGCCAAGAAAGCAGTCTAGACAGGTGAGGACAACTCCACTTTTTGGTTGCCTGAATCCACAATCAGGAAAAGTAGGACATGAAGTCTCCTTCACAAGATCAGAATTGTCAGAAGCCTCTGCATTCTGATTTTGATAACGGTCAGGAGTAAAATGAACAACTTTGCTTCCACCCACAAATATGCCTTCAACAACAGAAAACAAATTGTAGTCAGAACATTGTGCGTTGTTTAAATTTAAACAGGTGGGAAGGGGTGGAGTAGGTCAATGTTTAGCCACTTAATAGAGTTATAACCTTAATTCAGAGCATAGGAACAGTAAAGGTACGCATGTTTTAAAGATCATAAAAACTGGCATGGAAACCTTAAAGCATGCCATTTATCCATAGTACATAACGGTGAAGTATATTCTCAAAACCATGTCCAACAGAGTTGGTTGCATGCAAACTTCACTCAGGGGGTGATTGGAATCTCATGTATAAGCATATATATATGGGCATTAATTGCCTTCTGATTTTAATCCAACTTGAAGAACAGAAGAGGAATTAGAGAACAAAGAGAGTTTTAGATGGCTTCTCATAAAGATAACATCATTTTATTTTATTTTTAAAAAAAAAAACAATATCCCCAAGGAAAAAACAAGTTATCTATCCATATGAACAGATAATTATCAAAATCAGATCATTACAATTGCATTTTGAGACTAATCCCACATTAACGCACAATCGAAAGTGACCAGCTGAGGGACAGGTGTTCAGTCATTCCACCTACATACATATATCCTATGAGGCAATAATGCTAATAGAATAAACCAACAGTCTAAAGTTGATTATGTGATAATGTGATAACAAAAACGATTTAATCACACAATCTTTTGGTAATGCACTTTGCACTACTGATTTCCTGCATTTCATACCAGGAACATATCAGGATAATCTCTACTCAACCAAGGAGTGAGTCATGTCTGATTCAGCTTTTAATTGTCCCAACACTCCAACAATAGAGTCAAGCATGACAAGCACATTATCCTTCTATTGTCCTCATTAGACATTATCATTAACATAACAACAAGAATGTTTCGCGGTGTCCTACAAGACCCCAAGCCTAAAAAGATAGAACGCATACACCTAATTCCACAATAATTTTGATTATATCAATTTATCCAAATACAATTAGCTTTCAACTAGCTTCAACTTTCAAAATACTAATAAACAACCTCCAAATCACAATCTCTAAATCAACAAGCCACTAAACCCACTCACAATTTCCTTGCTTGATCAATCTCCACTTTCGGCTTTTCGCCTCCCAATCTTCTATACAACAATAATCATACTTGAGACGGCAATACATCCCCTAACATAATCTCTCAGCCATAAATGAAAAGGATTGTATTCTAGTTTCGACAACATGCAACAAACAGTAACCTGATTCTTTTCTTCCAAAAAAATGCATACCTCCATGAAAGAATCAAACTTTCTTGCAACTAAGGCAAGTTGGTGAAACCCCATTTCAAAATCAAACTACAGCCATCAATAAACAAATTTCTCCCAAATCAGATTGCAAATAATTCTAATTCCACCAGCCCTAATAGAACAAAAAAAAATATAGAAAAATGCAAGAACAAAAAGGCGGATAGTCCAAAACATTGTATTAACCCAAAATTATTACTATATTAAACAATAAATGAACCAAATTACAACATTGAAATTAGTATGAAAAGAGTACCATGGTGAGAGTAAGTGAAGACAGCTCTCCAAGTGTAAATGTGATCCCCTGATTTGATCTCCTCCCTCTCCACCTTGTGACTCAACAACCCCATTTTCTCTCTCCTCTCTCTCTCTCTGCTTCTTCTGCTAAGTCAATGGAATTTCGTCAAAAAATGAAAATTCGTCAAAAATTAGAAGAAAGGATTATTTTAAAATTGAGGGTAATCTCCAATGAAAACGGAATTAGTTAAGCAAACACCCACCAACTACAAATCAAATTAGTAGTTATTCATAATTTATTTATTTTTAATTAAGTGTGAGTAGGTCTTAATCAGGAAAACCCAGAAAAAGAAGCGGAAAATGAGATGGTGGGATGATAATGATGATGATGGGTGATTTGCTTTTTGGTCTGGCCTTTGAGATTTTGACCTGTTTAATGTGGGGTTAGTTTTAACTTTGAAGGTGTTTGATGTGATCAATGGATGTGTTTCTTCATTTTAGGGAATGATTACTCTGATGATTCTATAAGTGAAGCGCAAGCAATTAGATTCCCATTTACAATGCAGCTTTTGCACCACTTAGATTACTTGGCATCCTAAGCCAATATGCGCAAGTGCATCTTAAACAACACAAGCTAACATATAACATACACATTGTAGAATTATTGTGACATGTTTCTCGAGACCAAAGTTCCCTAGAATGGTAGAATCTAAATCGGTCATAAAATTGTCATTATAAGTATAGACAATATACAAGAGAAGAGCATTAGGTACATATACTGACATACTAAATGTATCAAATGAATACATTCTGTGCACAATACAAGTACTATAACATACTTACATGTCAATAATTAAGGGCAGTACAACTCATTATTTTGGGAAAGAATATAACGGACGTAGTGATGAAAATAATTGGTGGAAAGACCAAAAAAGACTTGTACATTAGAACTCGGAAAAGATATTCCAATCATAGACTTTCACGTCAAGAACTGAGGTCTGTGATAAAAGATGTCTCAGCTCGTCAGCACGATCCACATCCTTAGCAAGCAATAACGCAAAACCCCCACCACCAGCACCCACCAGCTTGTAGCCGCAACAATAAGGTTCGGCAAATTCGAAAAATCGATCAACAGATTCATTACTACAAAATGGATCCAGTTCTTGATGCAGCCTCCACGCCTCCATCATGATATCACCCAACTCATCTATGTCTCCGTTCATGAGAGCTTCCCTCCCTATTTTTGCAAGTTCAGCAAGACGCTTGATGCTGGATACAAGCAGATTATCTCGTCTTAGGTAGCGAGTCACCACATTCTGCAATACTTTGCGTGCAAGTCGGACCTGCAGTGTGTTGAACTACTAGTCAAAAATCATAATTACAAAGTAGGGAAAACGACAAAATGAAAGATTGGTTTGCATTTAAGAATTTTAGGCATCCACATAACCAAGCCAAAAACACCCACGCCCACAACAAAGGCAATTTCTCAAAAGAATGTAAAAGATCACAGCACAGTATGACAGCTTCCGTAAAAGAAATAATAATATCATAACACCTATATGTCTCAAACTAGAATTCTCCATGAAGAAGTTGAAGAAATTTAATTGAAAACATCCATAAAATATAAAAGGCAGTTTTGCACCAATGAAAGATCTTTTAAGTAACAAAAATGAAATACTAGTTGAAGGGATTGTTGTTGTGGTGGCATTACAATGGGGTCTGTGTCCAAGCCTCTTATTAAATAGTTGTGGTCTTCTCTTTAGACAGATGGAACAGTTGACAAGAAACAAAACTACATAACCACTTACTTGACCGGTAAATACCACAAGCAATCTCCGATGCAATTGCAACATCAGTTCAGGGGATGCCAAAAGAGGAATGACTTGAAGCCGCAAAGGAATTCCAGGGAAGCTAGTTGTAAATTTAATACCAGGATATAACCCACCAATCTGATCCTGCCAGCCTCCCCCTGTTCCCATAAGCTGCTCTAGTACCAATACTAGCCTAGCAACATTTTCTTCCTCATCGTCCCCTTCAATTATTTGAAGGAGTCCCTTCACTACAGCAGCTGCAAGGATGCTTGATGTCCCTAGGCCACTACCACGTGGAACATTGGCCCAGGTTTTGATCTCCAAGCCCATAGACTTCTTGTCATGAATGACACCAGTAACAAGCAATGCACACTTGACAAGCCTAAATGGATCATCACTATCAAATGGAGGGACAATGGAGGTAGGATCTTGGACAAATAGCTCATTTGAAGCATCATCACTAACTAATACACCAGCTGTTCTAGTTGTTTTTATGGTCGTGCCAATTGGGAGAGAACCTTCCAGACAGATAGCCATGTTAAGAACACAACCAGCACGCTCCAAACTCCATGGTGGAGTATCACTCCAACCCCCAACAAAATCTACACGTACAGGTAATTCAACCTTCACACTCCGGAGCAAGTTTTGCTCTTCTGCACCAATGTCAAGTTTATTGCCTTGGTGTATTAACGCGGGTATGCCATGAGATGCATCCAGAAGATTCTCTGTAGACAAATAGAAATTCGTATAATAGATAAAGCACATCAGATTACCCAGAATAATGGTAACCAATCCTCAAATCAAGTTTATCCTACCTTTAAAACCATATCTAACAGCTGAAGCAGTTTCGTCTGCAACTGCAGCCCAAACTTTGCTTTCCAGATCATTTGCCAGCATCTCATCTCTACAGGCCCGGAGAAGGTCAGCTTTCACCTGGTATGCACGGCTTTTGGGAACTATATTTGAGTTCTGCACCTGGAGGCTGGGACACATTGCCAAGAAGTCCTTGCAGATTTCAGCTCCTGACTTTTCTATTTGCAGTATCTCTTCACACAGTTGAAACAAGTTTCGTCCTAACAATCCATAGCTAATGCATGCCCTTGCTATACCCGCAGCTAGATCAGCTTGATGAGTACTGGAACCCAAGCACATTTTTTGAAAATCAATGGATCTATGCAATGCTTCCAAACTCATGCGAGGAGAATTTCTCCATAAAATAAGCATGGATTGATTTTTCTGGTCACGCAATCCCATTAACCATGACACTAATTGAAGCATTTCAAAGTAAGGGAGGATTGGAAATATTTTTGCATTCCATAAACATTTTTCACTGTCACCTGTAGAACTCCAGAGATCAGTTTCCTGAATGTGTAAATCACGCAACACTTTCTTCCATGGTCTCCCACAAAATGTTCCGTCCTTAGACATTGAAGTCTTTGGGTTATCATGAAGACCACAGTACACAATAACCCGATCATTACAGCCAGACAATGGTACCTCCCAAATGCAGTGCCGATCTGGAAGCATAAATCTTACTGGATCTTGAACACCCCCAGGAATGTTTATACCAACAACAACAGACAGGGAGCCAATTTGTATTCCACTAGAAATTGAAGAATCATAAATTAGGGTATCTTCACCAACTGAGACTCCTGGAGCAATTTCACTGGAAAGAATAATAGCTGATGCTGCAATGTCAGATGTAGTGGTTGCTGGTATAGAGCAAAGATGTCTGCGTCCTACAAGTCCAGAGTCAGCACCACTAAGATGATCCAATACTTCACTTGATGTTCCAAAATGCAAAAAGAGTAATTCATCTGCAATAAAAATTAATCAGAACATTAAACTGCATGAAGCATTCATGATTCCTGAGATGCAAGGATTAAATCATTCAGAGACAAGGGCCAATAAGAGGAATGGTGTTTCTCCCTTCCTCCCTGCTCTTCCCCTTTTTTTTTCCAACTCCAACAACAGTAAGGAGTCATGCAACATCAATGGGTGAGTGGAGAAAAATATAAGGAGGACATCAACGACTAGACTGGGAATTCATATTCCTTTATTTGTTCACTAAAGGTGTGTTTCATTAATCTATGTATCCCCTGGTAAAGGTGTAAGCTTTAAAGACATGACTGAAGCCAGTTAGACTTCAGAACTAGATGAATTACTCGAAAATTGAAATACAAAAATATGAGTCAATGCAGCATAAGCAAACACGTAACTGGTAACATGAATATATGACCACTAGTCTTCATGTTTTAGATAATTTTGACATACGAGCACAATAGCTGAACATTTGTTGCTTTCCCAATTTATTGACAAGTTCCTCCCCCAATGGTCGCTTCCTTAACCATTCATGTTTTGTCGGCACCCAAGCTGCAACTAAATCTTCATACAAGCTCATCTGCAGATATACAACATGAATTAAGACTGCTGTGTTTATTACGAGAAAATAAAGCAACTCAACAAAGTCCACTATTTCAACCAAACAAGCATTCTGATAAGAAAATCTCTGACTAATTTCATCTTAAACAAATTGGAGACACTAGAAGGAATAAAAAAAAAAATCACCACCCCAAAGGGAAGAGGAGAAGCAAAAAAGAATGAAGGTTGAATGTAGCAAGACGCATGAAACCTCCTTTCACAAATGGAAAAAACTTAGACAGTAACTTCACAGAGACTCCCACAGGCCTTCTTAAGAACCCCTTAGAAAGAAAGGTGTCAGAATATGCTTCAAAAACCTTGGAACAAGCACATACAACAGCAATTCTCAAACTTGATGTTCAAAGAAAGGCACAAAAGGAGCATATATTTTACTAACAGGCAACCTGCGTTTACTAAGAGTAACAGGCGACTCGTACCTAATAGAAGACACATCCACAGAATTCACTACCCAAGAAATTGATAAAACTGAAATGCTTTGAAAAATACTTTAATAAATCAGCTTTAAGCTATTAGGAATTTATTGATCAATATCAAATATATATGCTGCTAATAAATTCCATGTCCATACAACAGCTTCTGGTAATTTGGTTAGGAATTCAGTAACATACAATTTCACATTTGCTAATTTGGATAACATAATAAATGAGAACATGAATGATCAAAGAATGTACAACATAAGGAAGATGATCAACCGATTCAACCCCATGGAAACAAAATATACAACCCTCACTGCTAGAAAGTTATTTTTTATTCAGTTCTATTACTGATCACAAGGTATGTTACAAGTAACCATGAAAGACTGCTAGAAGATAAAAAAAGACATGCTTATAATTGAATGAAAGCTTACCTCTTTTTTACTATCTAGTAGCTGCAGAATCAATGATTGACCAGAGCATGCAAGGTTGACAAGCTCAACCCATGCTTTACCTCTGACTGCTATAATTCCAGTGTCAAGCAATGTTCTGCCATCATCCAGAAGAGCCTGACTTTCAACAAGCTCCTCCTTACTAGGTTTCTGCAGAAGATTTTCAACTAAACTGACAGAAGAAATAGCATCTAAATTTGCAGTTTTAGAAGCCACAACAACACCATGATTGGAGGCAATGTCAAGAGTTATAGGAACTGTGATGATGCATGACGCATCCTCTGGTAGAAACATATTGGAGGCATCAAAACAAGGAAGTACGTCTCCCGTCATAATGAACAACCCACCTACATATCAAGACATAGTTTTAAACAGATCATTATGCAGGCTATAAGAAATTAAAATAAATAAATAAAAGCAAATCCATTGAGATTCAGCACAAATCATTAACCAAGAAATACATGAAGATTTCGAAGCTATATAAACTTGCTTTAATCTGTATGCTACTAATTAGACGTAGAAAAGCTAAAGTTACAGTAGCTAAGAAATGATATGCACTGCTTGGCAGGAAATAGAAAGCAAAATACAGTCCTCTACACAGCCTAGTAGCCTAGGATGCATGCTTTTTTCTTTCATTTCGCTTCGCCCCTCATAATGGGGACCTCCGACTGCAATATCCTTAAAATTTTGAGAGTTATGCGTAATTTAATCACGCTAGTACATACTGATATTTCAAAAAAAATCCAGCTTATACAGAATATGCTGCAAATATTAGAAAATTTAGTCAAGTTATGAAATGAAATGAAAACAAAGATTCAATGCTAGAATTACTAATGACCTTTATTTTTGAAAGCCTGCCTTGCACAGGATGATATTGCAAGTATATGGTCAAAAAGCAAAGGTACAGGCCCATCAGGGTCATCTGCTGCTAAATATGGAAGTGGCAGAAAAACCTTCCCCATAGGATTTGCCCACGGGACTCTTTTAGAGTCACCTCCAGCATGCAGCAATAGTATATGCTTTTTTGCCAAAAAATCAATGCACAGCAGGTCAGGAACTCCATTGTCAAACCTTTCAGGAGAAGCAGAGTCAAGACTTCCATCAGCTCTTTGCACAGCCTATGCAAAAAAGCACCAATGAGTAACAGAAAAGAGACGAAGTCCAGGTAAAACCATAAAATGATCTGTGATAATAAAAACTGAAAAAAGCCGGAAACATAGTCCATGAGAAACAATTCTTTAACATAAAAGGAATCAGTAAAATGCAGCATAGTATGTACAGCATGCCCTGAGAAAAAATAAATAAATAAATAAATTATTAAGTGGTTCCTTACAAGATAAAATAATATGGAGTGCATGGACAGATACATAGAACAGTAAAAGTTCACCTGATGTTACAATATGTGTGACAAAATTAATTTAATAAGATCTGGAATCAACCATGTCATGCACACAAGTTACAAATCAAGGTGGTGTAAACCTTTAAGATCTTTCCTGTCTGAAAATGCTGTTTTTCCACCAAAGACCGAACTTTAGTTACCATTAATCAAAGGGCTTCCTCTACTCAGGGAGCTGAGTACTCTTTACAATTGATTAGCTTAGAACTTAAGTCCCTAGAAGTAAGATGCTCAGCTGCATCAATCAAAGGGCTTCCTCTACTCAGGGATCAAAGCTACATCAAACCACACATACTCCATTTTAATGCTTCTAGTAACCTCCATTTCATAAATTTCTTCCCACTTTCTGTTTCGGTCCATTGCATGAAATTATACCAACTTAAAATCTTTCCTTGGCTAGTAAACATGAACCTTTGGCCCACATTGGAAACAAAACAAATGGTCCCAAAAGTAACATTCTTTTTCTTACTACATAAAACTATATATCCAATTATCTTTTGCAAATGAATAAATTTCAATTTCTATGATATAAAGCCAACTTTAGACTAGCTTAATACCCACCTAAGGCACCTATACTCTTACTTTTATTCTCTTTATTAAAAAATAATGTTTTTTAATCCATAAAATTAATGTTTTCAAGGTGTAACAAGAGTTATGTGGATATAGATCTAGTGTCAAATAATTGAAATTCCTTTATGTAATATGTATACACATCACCTTCCAGTCTCGTTGGCCGGTCTAATCAGAGATAATTGATCAATTCCTACTAATTACAAATCAAATTCTGATTATTATGCATTTATGCAACCTTCTCCAACCTCTTGAAAAACTTAACTTATAAAACAACCCATCTAATGAAAAACTGTCTTAATCCTATTCCTCCCTATTTTTTCTATCTATTCCACTTGCTTAATTTTGAGTTGACTCCATCTAAAGTTCAACAATAACATAATTCACCCGTTTCTTAATACTTGCAACACTTTAACTTTTACGCTTACCAACTAAACCACGCCTTAAGTGGGATCATTAAATTAATACATTGTACCAAAATGAAAAGACTAAAAACATCATAATTACCGAATCATCTCCATTATTACCAGCAATCCTCTGATAATGAAGAGCCAACTGAAGAATAGCATTGAGAGTAGCAGAACCCGACCCGATACGATGACCATGAGGATCCGGAACAGCAAGAGTAACCGTAGATTCAGCAATCCGACCAAGGCGTTTAGCGCGATTAAGCTGCCATTCGTAAAGCTGAGCTTGCTCAGGACTCGCCGCCGTTAAAACGACGGCGTCCCACGTCGGGACCCTAGAAGGGTGGCGCACTGAAAGGCGTAATCTATACCATGATTTGCGCAAAGTGTCGGCTATATCTGCTTTAGTTAGTTTGTTGTTGTGGTTTCGTTTTCGCCATTTTCTCTCTCCTCCGCCATTTTTGGTGTTTTGTTCTTCCATTGTTGCCACTGAGATTGCGCGCGATGGGGATTTAGGAAATTGATGGTTTGAGATCTGCGGTTTTGTGTTTTGCCGACGACTGTCGATCGTGTCGAATGTTGATGTATTATTGATTTACACGATGTCGTTTTGAAATAAATTTGAGAGTTTAATAAAAAAAAAATGAACTGATGGCGTCGCCCGGACTCGAACTGGAGACCTTCAGTGTGTTAGACTGACGTGATAACCAACTACACCACGACACCAAATTGCTGACTCCGTTTTTATAATGTTCAAATTTGGGTTCTTAGGGGTTTTGCGATTGCTTGGAATAGAGGTCATCGTAAGGTGCAGCTTGCAGTGGACTCGGAGGTTGTAGTTCGACTATTGTTGGAGGCAGTGACGCATTCGGGATTTCTAATCAGGGGTAGCGCGTAGTGGTTTAAGAAAATTTAGAACTGAAGTTAAAACCGGACTTTATATAAGGGATTGTTCATATTGAAAAATTCCCTCAAAAAACGATTAGTAAAATAATAAGCCGAGTGATTTTTTTTTTTATGCAATGCAATGTGTTAGTACATTGTTGTGCTCCTTTTTAATTGACAATGTGATTTTAGACGTGCATATATTTGACTGAGTTCTTATTCAAAAAACAATTACTAAGGTATATATAAATAAAAAATAAAGTGGGGTTCGAACCCCTGATTGCCTTGGCACACTACCAAATTTTTAGCAAATTTTACTCTTACCACTGCAATAAAGGTTGGCACTTAATATAAATTTGCAATTTAAAAACCTTTATACAAATTTCTAGGGGTAGCACATGCTACCCCTTGTTATTATGTAGATCCGCCAATAGGTGGAGGAATCCCCTCCCAACTCGCCATATATTCAAATCATTAGGAAGTGTAAGGCACTCATCTTGCATTCTTCTTGCGTCGTGATTAGGAAGTGGTCGTGAGCCACTGCTATAAGGAGGCTAACCATGTTGTTGATTGGTTAGCTAATTATGGTGTCAATGCTGAGCAATGGATGGTATTTTTGAAGTGGTCCCAAGGGATCTTCAGGCCGTTTTATTAGAGGATATGAGTGGAATGGCTCGGACTTTGCTGGTTCCTCGTTTGAAGGACTAGGAGGCGTGGAGCTTTATGTTTTAGTTTGTTTCTATTTTATTTCGTTTTTTGTTTAGTTGTTTGCTTTTTTCATTGTTGTTGGTTTGTTTTGTAGTTCTTCTTTGGGGCTTGCCCCTTTTTTCCACCCAAAAAAAAAAAACTTATTTATATATTTGTATAACAGTTTGATCAATGCTTGTGATTCATACGTATTATAAAATCAAATATACGGATTAGTTACCTAATTATTAGATGAATTGTCTCCATTTTTAGTTTTTGATAATATTATTGGTCAAATTCCGTGTTAACAAATGGATTGTTATTCATATTACTTTGTATAACATTTATTTTGAAACAAAAGAAATTTGTTAGTTAAAGTAAGATATTTTGACCCACAAATTTATAATCTTTCTATTTTCTTTTGATATATCTTGATGCTTTTTTTTTCACATATCAATGCACATTTTTATGCATAAATATATTCAATTTCACTTTATAAAAATAACTAACATACTTTTGAAAATTATATAGCGAGATGTTTTTAACAAGCTAAGATTGCATGTGTATATATTTTCTTTTGCGTGTAAGTGAAAATTTGTGGTTGAATTCATTGATCAAGACTACAGTATATGGGTACGTATATTTGAAAATGAAAGGAGTGTGTTAGTTAATTTCTAATGGATGGAGTATAGAAACATTACCAACTCACAATGAAACTCTGATTTGAAATTTGTCAACTGTTTTTGGATTTTTTTTTTTCCTGATTATATAGATACTTTGTACTTTGTAATTTTTTATAAGATATACATTATGCAAGACAAAGCCTCTGAAGATAATAGTCAGTCTTGAATTCTTGATCACCAAGAATAAAACAAAATATTTTTGGCACGATCATGACTATATACTTTTTTGGAAGGTATTAGATACAATATTGTATACACTACCTTCCAAAATATTCTTATATTACGGGATACTATTAAATTTCTCGGTGTCATACAACTCACATCCATGCTGCATGAAAGATGATGAATAATTATTTTGTAAATTTAATTCAACAAAAATAAAGCATGTCCATTGATTTAGCTAATAGTAATTCCTTTATCCACTTTAATAATGTCTTGCCATCAGGTAGCAATTTTTGAACGGAGGAAGCAATTTGATACAAATATTAATTATATTACCAAAATATTTACTAATAAAAAAGACTTATTCATTCTAGTCATATCTTTCAATTGACTAAACAAGATAAACCGTCCTTTGACCAAACTTTTGATTCAACGAGTTCACATGGTGCTTAACTTATAACCCTAGGTCATTGAATAAGCCTATCAAAGTACCAACCTAAAATCAACAAAGCCAATGAACCCCATCCATTGATCTATTTGGAGAAATCATCACTAAGGCAGGCTATGTCTAGTTTAACTTATTTTTAAATTGATACTCGTAATAACTTATTTTAGAACAAAGCTTAACTTTTATTTGCATTTAGTTTTCATTATATGTCTTTAATTTCGTTATTCAAAAAATTACGAAAATTTCATAATTGAAAAATACATATTAATATGAAATCTAATGAGATCTCATTTCCAAAAATAAAAAAATAAAATAAAAAAAAATACCTATTTGATATGTTTTTTATTTATGGATTTTAAAGTTTGATCAAACTTGAAAATCAAATCGGCTCACCCCAAATCATACCAGAAAAATTCATATCAGACAAGATTAAATCATGAAAACAGATCAAAATCTAAATTCAATAAGTTTATTAATGAATGGTTCCAACTTTATTCAAACAAAATAGTATAAAAATTAAATAGTGAATTCATTAATTTCACGAGCAAAAAATATGGATGTTACTACAAACATCTTCAACCTACCAACATCCTATGTTGTTCAACTTTTAGTAGAAAGTTTTGATTAAAATATCTATAAAGTGTCATGTTATACAATCTGTTACCTCGTGATCCAAAAAAAACCCTTGAATGAAAGCAAGAATTAGTTGTCTCACCGGCGGAATTCGCGACGTTCTTTTTGCTTACTATAATTTCATTCATTTATATAACTTAAACGACGTCACTTTACAGGTAACCTTTTTAATTAAGTAGAGTATTAAAGTATTGTTAAAGTCTTCAAAAGTCAAAACTGTATCAAACAAACAAGTGTTTGCTCTCCCTTCACTTCTGCAAAACCTCCGCCTTCTTCATTTTTCTTCTTCTTCTCCTTTTTTTTTTTTTTTTTTTTTTTTTTTTTTTTTTTGTGATCATCCCTTCATTTTTCCCTGAAATGATTGAAAGTGAATGGGGGAGTTTGAAGGGATGATTAATGAATATTTGATCAATAATCAATTAATCAGTAGCGGAGTCAGGATTTTAAAGACGGGGTGTCAATATTAGAGTGTATGTACAAAATTGTTGCGAAACTTACAATAAAAATCAAATCTTTTTGAGGGTTTTTGAAATTGTGGGCATGATTTGTATTGGAATTTGAGAGGGTAGTCCGTTTTTATTTTTGGGCAGTTTTTATTTCATATAACGAATGCCAATTCTCTTTCTTAAGATCGGCATTCAATTTTGCTTTTTAAAATTAGGTTAAATGATCAAATTAAGCTTATTTTGGATTGAAAAAAAGTATTTTTGGTGAAAATTGAAAACGAAAAAATTTCTGCAAATTTTCCTTTTTTTTTTTTTTTTTTTTTTTGAATTGCAGGGATGTCGCCCGGAAAGGGATCAGCTGTTCCGACCAATGACGACGAGGCAGGTGAACCTGAGTTTGTGGAGAAAGATCCAACCGGTCGCTATGTTCGGGTATTTTAATGTCACAATTTTGGGTTTTATATTAGTTAATGTCACAATTTTGGGTTTTGATTTTCATATATGCTGCTCATTTTTGTTGTTTAATTTGTCTTGTATTTTGTTTGATATTATTCGCTCAATATTTATTGCTTTTTTTATTTTTTATTTTTTTTTTATTTTCATGTTGCATTGAATTTATAAGTATCATTAAATTAGAGGAATAGTGTAAAGTGTTGCTCCTTTGTTGAGTTCCTACTTTCACTATTTGGGTTTTGGTCCTCATAATCAATCGATTTTGATATAGGTAGCTGTGACGCTGTAAGGGCTAACGTTTAGTTTGGGAATTTATGACAAAATAACACTATAATTTGATTTTACAAATGTGTAATTGAGGCTTGATGTTTTTGTATTTAGCTTATACTTAACCCTTGGCTAGGGGATTGCGGATTTTTCGTTTGGGGCTGTATTGGATTTAATATTATTGTCTAAATCATAGAAGTAATGTGAGTAATTCTTTTTGTCTCTACTTTTTCATGTTTCGCCAATTTCGGTCCCCACTCACCCCTACAACGAACCAAAGAGTATAGTGATAAGTTGATCAATACACATTGTGCTAGTACTCTGTTGTTTGGTAGTTTTGCTTGGATGTGTTTATGTTCTTTGAGTAATTTAAATGTAATTCAGTGTTGTTGCACTAATTCGCCTATGTAGTAGAGGAAGATCTTTAAAACAAGTGATGGTGATTCTTTTATACTCCGTACAGCTATGTCATCATTTTTTTAGGTGGGGTGGGGGTGTTACAAGAGCTGTATCTTTGTTGATAATATACCTTTTTTTGATCAAATGCATACGTAATCTATGTTATTCGTATGCTTCACCTACCTTACTACTGGTATCTTCTTGCCATATCCGAGTCATACACTTTTGGTGAGTTTGAGTAATTAAGAATATGGTGATAAAACAGTATAAAGGCTTTCCCTTGTACATAGATGGAAGCTTGTCTCAATATATTTTATTCTTCTTTTTGCCATTGCTAATATTGATTTGATTTTCCAATTTGTTTTGCTACAGTTTGGTGAAGTCTTAGGGAAAGGAGCGTTCAAGTCAGTGTATGTTTCCTATTTTTTTATTTCTGTAGTTTGCTTGCTGATGTTTTGAGCATTGACTTTTTTTTTTATGCATAATGTATCAAGTCACCGTGCTTGAGGACATTGCATAAATAATCTGATGATGGTGGAATTGTCCCTATGAAACTCCACATAATGAGAATGTTGTTTTCATTTTCTATATTTTTTCTTGTATATTTCTTAAGCATTTCCTTTGTTTGCAGTTATAGGGCATTTGACGAAGTCAATGGAATAGAGGTTGCTTGGAATCGTGTGAAGATCAGTGATGTTCTGCGGTCTCCAGAAGGTCTGGAGAAGCTATATTCTGAAGTTAATCTTCTCAAGAAATTAAAACATGAAAACATCATAAAGCTGTATGATTCATGGGTGGATGACAAGAAGAAAACGGTGAACATGATCACTGAACTCTTCACATCTGGCAATTTGAGGGAGTAAGTTTGTTCCTTTTCTTGCATTTCAGCTCATTTATTCAGACTCACATATGCGAATACATGTAAGTGTTGAGGACCTGACATGAGTACTTGAGGTGACGAGGACAGATCGAGTAATATAGCATTTTAATGATGTGACAGCTGATTGTTTATCATCTATATGTTTGCAATAATTATCTCTTTGGTGTAATAGATATCGAAAAAAGCACAGAAATGTAGACATGAAGGCTGTGAAGAATTGGGCAAGACAGATTCTCAGAGGTTTAGCTTATCTTCATAGTCATGACCCACCAGTTATACACCGAGATTTGAAATGTGACAATATTTTTATCAATGGAAATCATGGAGAGGTTAAGATTGGAGATCTAGGATTAGCAACTGTCATGCAGCAGCCAACTGCACACAGTGTCATTGGTGAGGCTTTAAGTTTTGTTTCGCCATCTTTAGATACTGAGAAGAGTTTTTTTGACTTGTTTTGTGTTTTAATAATAGGAACACCCGAATTTATGGCTCCAGAGCTCTACGAAGAAGATTATAACGAACTCGCTGACATATATTCTTTTGGAATGTGCATGTTAGAGATGGTAACTTTTGAGTATCCTTATAGTGAATGCAAAAATCCAGCTCAAATTTTCAAGAAGGTTACCTCTGTAAGTTTGTCAATGATTTTTCACTTTTATTATTTTGCTTCTTGCTTGCTTTGACGGTGTGCTTTCCTTGGAGAAATTAAATAGAATGCCCACGAGCTATAGCACTATTTTACAAAGTCACCCTTTTGTTTTTACCTAAAAGCACCCATGGTTCTTGTTGTTTGTGATCTACTCATCTACTACTATATTGCTCTTGAAATTACTTAATCTCTGTCATCTATTATTGTATGTGAAGTGAGGTAGATAATAAGAGGTTGGAGGAATGTAAATGAGAATTGGGTAACTGCAACTGTTATGTGTGGGTGATAGATAGGAAAGTTAGTTATGCGAAGTTTTCTGTAGAAGTGATTTTGTATAAGTATCCATGAATTTCCAAAAAATACCCTCCTTCCAGAAATAATTAAAAACTCAGTAGTGTAAGTTTAACATCTAGTGAAAACTTAAATCTGATGAGTAGTATGTGAAAGTTACGAACAACTTGCATGAGGTGCAAGTTAATATGTATCAAGTACCCTTTTCCAAACTTTGTCCAAATTTTAGCGATTTGGAATTAGAAATAATCTCATTTACATGGTCTCTTGGTGTTATGTGCAGGGCATTAAGCCAGCTTCCCTTGCCAAGGTGAAAGATCTCCGAATGAAGGAGTTTATTGAGAAGTGTTTGGTTCCTGTTTCAGAAAGATTGCCGGCAAAGGAGCTACTCAAGGACTCTTTCCTTCAAGTGGAAAGCCCAAAAGAGCCCATACACCATCCCATTGTGATGCCCAGCCAACCTCCCAGATCCACTGCTTCAACATCAACGTCTCATTCCATTGATCTCAATGCTGATCACTGTAAACTTAACTACTGGAGCAACTCATCTGGTAATAGCTGCATCAGTCCAACCGACCAAGTTTTGGAATTCACGAGGGCTCATATGGGAAATTTGTTCCAATTAAGAGGGAAGAAAAATCATGATGACAGCTCAATATCCTTGACATTGCGTATCGTGTACCCTTCAGGTAGGTGAAGATTATCTCATTATTTAGTACATCTCTGATCATTACTAGCTTATTCATTTCAATTTTGGGAAAATTATAGGGGAGGTGAAGAAAATAGATTTTGTCTTTTACCTGGAGTTTGATACGGCAATTGCATTAGCAGCGGAAATGGTTGCAATGCAAGATTTGGCTGATTATGACATGGAGTTTACAGCTGAATTTATTGATTACTTGATAAAGAAAATTACAATGAATTCAAAACCATCATCTGTTCACTCTTCTGTTGAACCGGATAAACGAGGTGATGATACCATGGTTGAAAACATAAGAGATACTGGCATGGACGGTGAGCAGAAATTTTATTTTTTTGGTTTATAAGATAGATCTTAAGATCATTGTTCCTTGCATGTGGAAAGTCAAATCATTTGTCAATTAAATCCCGAGGCAAAATCCTGAATTGGTCTTACAATAACTTCCTGTGATATTGATTCGCTTTTTTCTATACCTAGGGGTGATCATTTTCCTTTTTTAGGATGAATTTTACACAAGATTTGCTATAATTCTGAAATTGTGATTTAGATCTTTTTGTTGCAGATGTATTTGCTGAGGATTCTTCTGGCATATTAGGTAAAGCATTGCAAAGCCTCGACTACTGCATCGATGATTGTTATAAACGTTTGAGTGTCAACAAACCAGAGATGGACATTGGAGAATCACACAGTGAAGAACACAAAATTTCAAGAATTAATAGCCATCTCAGCGGATGTACCCACTTGAATGAGATGACTAAGAACTCCGAAGGTGCAACTTCAATGGATCATGGTGGGATTTCTGGTTTAACTAGCTTAGCAAGCAGCTCCTCCTCCTCGTTAAATGAGGAAGAAGATGATGAGCTAAAGGCAGACTTAGCTTCAATCGAAACTCAGTATCAGCACTGGTTCGAAGAACTTGCTAGAATGAGGGAAGAGGCATTAGAGGCTGCTAAAAAGAAGTGGATGATGAAGAAAAAGATGGTTGCTCTTTCAGTGTGAATATTGTGAATATTTTTATTTATTTATTTATTTATTTATTTATTTATTCAGTTTTGTTCTTAGTGGTCATGCTAATTGTTAAACCTCAATGCCAGAATTTTTTAGTTATGGTAACCGATTAATATAGCTTTTGGAAAGCCTTTTTAAACCTTAGTTAAGGTTACTTTGCACATATTCATACATTCTTTTTGGAATGTAGGCTTCTTCTGTAGCTTTGGTAGAAGATTTTTATTGGAATGGAAATGGAAACAGTTGAGAAGACAATGTGTACATAAATATTGAGAATTATTAATGTATAACTTGGCATTATGCATTTATTTTTGTTATTCTCTGTTGCTCTTGCATGTTTGTATTTGTTTTCCTGAAACATGAAGACACAAATACTAATCTCAGCTCAGCTCAGCAGATGGATTGTCAACACATAGTCGTCAATCTGTACCTATCTATTGTTTGGATTACAAATGGCTCTGGTAAGGTTCTAGTCATTGCTAGAGCTCAGGCCAGCCTATTTTGTCAATGACTTGGTCAGTCGATCCCCTCTGCCCCACTGTATACATACCCTAGGATCGGCATAACATGATCTGGTTCTGATTCCAGTTCTTTGGAATCGGTTCTGACTTGGCTCGAGACTAGTTCATTAGAAATCGATTGTGTACCTAGTCAGCTAGTCTCGCTCACCCTACTTATATATCTTTCCTTCCTTTTATTTTTACAGTGGATTACAGGTAAATGTATATACTCTATATTACATACAAATACTTACCTGTTAAAATGTTTCTCTACTATCATCTGCACCCTAAGTAATAGGGATTTTGTTAGTTTAGACAATTTATGTCAAAGTTTTGATCTTTATTTTAACAGTTGATGTATCTTTCCATCCCATACTTGTATAGTTGTTTAACACAGGACCACGCTATACCACTCCCCACAACCCTATTACCCTATCTGCAATTTTATCAAACAGCTTCAAAAACACTTTTGAACTCAGAGTTTACATGTGCATACCATATCCTTTGTGGAGTTAGTGCACAGTATATCTGCCTCTGCATGCAATACAGAAAGAGGAAAAGAAATAAAGGACCCATCTCATCTTGAGGTAGGTTATTAATTGTACCTACATTAATAAATAATAAATAACGCGTCTTCACCGTCCACAAATAATATGTCACATACGTCATTTTTTGTTCTAGAAATCCAGTCGACATAACTGTATTCAGTATCACCCTTCAAAAATCTCTTTTGATGATCATACTGGTTGTAGAATAAATTTCAATTATGTGATATAATTTTCTGTTCATGATCACGCCACGGCTTATGCTTGTTAAACTGGACTAGACTGATCGTTTAATAGGCTAAAAAATTCTACGAAATTTCATTTTAACAAGTTTCTGATAATAATTGATAAATAGTTATAATCTTGATTACCACAACAAAATTCCTTCACCTAAACAAGTAACAATGACCCTTTAATGTTTAAAATATAGAATTATATCCCTACTTATCTATACAATTGAATTTTTTAATTCTTGAAGGCGAAACCAAAAAGTCATAAATCCAATATTAATCTAGTTGATAACTCCTTTATAAAGATACTTTTTTCAACCAAATTTTATATCCACTTGTCACCAATTATTGGTACCCCAATTTTTATTTTCCATAGTTGGAAAAATCCACCTTCATGTGATAACTGCAGCAGAAATTCAGTGTATTGGTTTGTATTTACTTGATTTTTATTTTCTTCTGAAAATACTATAACTTAATTGTATTTACTAAATAACCCTGCCAGTTTATAATTTTTCAACAATTTTTTCTTTTTCTTTTTCTTTTTCTGTTGTTTAAGTCTTGCTTGTGTTTTAGGTGCAAGAGGTTTTTTCTAATGGCTGATGAAGCTGGATTAAGGGCTTATTGCTGTTTCGTTTGTCGAAATTATGTCGCCGAGCATGATGATATAGTCTCTAAATCATTCCAGGTATTTAATTAACATAATTTGAGACAGTAATAAGAGATTCATATATATTCAAGAACATTGTATATATCTAAGCAAAATCTAGGGGGGGAACCCTTTTTGATTAAACTTAAATCTTTTAGCCTAGTATTTGTTCAAACAGAGAATTGCAGAACGTCTGAAAAAGAATTTTATGATTTTATCTACATTTTTCACAAAAAACAGTTGAATGATTTAGGAGTCAAATATTTTCTGATTTGAAATGATTGCAACATGTACTCTACTATTACAATAAGGCCTTGTTTAATTTCATCAAATATTTTCTGATTTGAAATGATTTATGCTGATTTGTGGTACTAATGATAGCCAATGTAAACTGATCAAAATTGGAATTTGTTGATTCACTTGTATACACGTCATGTGCAGTTACTAATTTTTACCGATTAAAATTAATTTTTACTATTCTCCAATCATTAAAGTGTGTTTACAATTTAATTAAAGGGTAATGCTATATAAGCATTTAATATCCTTCCTTTTTTAGTATTAAGTTGGGAATTTATCGATAATTCGCGAGTAAATCGGTGTAATAAAGGTTTATTTATTGTCTATTCTTTCCACTTTTAGCTTCTTATATGCAGCTCTTAGAACTGCATATATCTTTTCCTTTATTAAATTAAAGAGAACGTGGCGTAACCTAGAGAGGGAGCATTATTTTGCGAAATATTTAATTTATATGAATGGTATGTTGTTTAAATTAGGCACAGACAGGGAGGGCATATTTGTTCTCCCATGCAGTGAATATTGTTACAGGGCCTAAGGAGAACAGAAATCTCCTCACAGGCCTTCACACAGTTGCTGATGTTTTCTGCTCCGACTGCGGCGAGGCGCTAGGGTGGAAGTATATCAAAGCTTATGAGTCATCACAGAAATACAAGGAAGGCAAAGTTGTGCTTGAAAAATTTAAGATTGTTAAGGACGGTGATTTCTGCTAGTCATGGCAGTATTTTACTTTTGTTATGTGTATATAAATATTGCTTGATATTATGGTACAAAGTTAACATAACACCACTACCAAAGTGGTTCCCAAATTGAAAGCTTCTCAAAAGTTTTTATTAGGCCAACTAGAATTTACTTTAATTGTCTTAACTTTAGAAGTTTAGAACTACTTTGTTGGTTCTCTATCAAAGTTTACAAGAATTGACCATTTTTCTCAACGTCAAATCTTTAAAGTTCCTTCTATCAATTGTTTATGTACGGCTTTTAATAGCAAACAACAAAGGTAAGTTGTGTACTATAAGTAGGCATAGTCCAAGTATGAATGTGTTTCAAGCAGCCGAGTTCATTCCGAAATTAAAGTTTTTGAAGGCTTGTGTTTGCATGTGTGTATTTGTAAGAGCTAATTTACCTCAATTTAGTTCTTTGTTAAATCTTCTTTTGAAAAACCCAAAAGATAACTCCTTCGCCAAATAAGGGTCAACAAATCTATACATTAAAATCTTATGAACCAGTAACCCATTTAGTATTTGATGTTATCTTTTTTTAGTAAAATATTAATAAGTAAAAATATATTGACCAAGGGTAAGGCTCGGGACCTAATAACCGGTTTTGTTTATACTTCGTATTAATAGAAACTCCTAATTCTTAAATGATCACTATTAAAGAGTAGCCCAACAGATTATTTAGTGTTTGTTCTTTTTGTTAAGATATGGGGAGGAATAAGTTCTCTCCTTTACCTTATTATACAAGTATTAATCTTTTACTTCGAATCATAAATTTGTCTAGAGGATATGGTCATATCTTCGATTTTGCAACATCTACTGACTAATACTAAAACAAAATGTTGTTGAAATCATCAACCCCTCTTTCTATCCTATGTGTCGCTTCCTCATTAAAAAAATTCCAGTCAATTTAATGTACTACCTCCGTTTCTGAAAGTTTGACCCACTTACTATTCACGTGGTCAAAATAAAATAATTTTGACCACATTTTATGAGGTATACAATATAAATAAATTAGCATGTGAGATCACATTAGATTCCCCTTATTATAAATGATCCAAATATCAATTTTTTTACAAATTTCATTTATACATAACCGGAGTTATTCATGATCAAAGATGTTCATTGGAGACCGCGCAATTGCAAGTGAGTCGAACTTTCAGGAACGAAGGGAGTATGATGTCATTATTAATTTTATATATTTTTTTAAAAAAATTATACTTTATATAAATGTTGATTATTGTTTAACTGATCTTATCGATAATGTCAATCATCGTGTAACTAACTTATACCTATAGGTACATGTAAATATCTCACATCTATTCTATTAACTAATACTAAAACAAAACGTTGCTGACATCATCAACCCCCCTCCCTATTCTATGTGTCGCTTCCTCATTAAAAAATTTCCAACCAATCTAATGTATGATGTCATTATTAATTTTAATATATTTTTTTAAAAAAATCTACACTTTATGTAAATGTCAAGTGTTGTTTAACTGATCTTATCGACAATGTCAATTATTGTGTAACTAACTTACACTTATGGGGTACATGTAAATATCTCACATCTATTAAATAATACTAAGACAAAACATTACTAACATCATCAATCCCCCACCCTATGGCCTATCATGTGTGTCGCTTCCTCATTAAAAATATCTCACATTTTGGACTAATACAATGATGATGATATTGCTTAATTATTCCGTTACATTAATTTGATAATATATGTAGATGATAGACATACCATATTTTACTCTAACCTATTAGGTAGTTTAAGGTTGAATGGTCCAAATAATGGTGTGAAAGAAAGAGTTGGGGGGTAATGGCAAATAAAAGAGGTAAAATAAAGTACGTTGATGTCATCGCTGTCTACATGTCACCCTCTTAATAAAATTTTCCCCGCCTAAATACAAGGATGATGCCATCTTATTTTTTTTAAATTTTTTTTTTTGTGAAACTACCATATATAACGTTTTTTAAATTTGAATAATATTAGAAGTTTCTGCATTACAACTACTCCGAACAACTTATCAATTTATTCTAGGAAATTGAAATTTTTTTAAATAGCACACTAATAAATGACCTCCTATATTGAAATATGTATTACACGGCGTTAAATAAGTATTATATTATAACTTTGATGAAAATCTATAATCTTAAATATTTTTGTACAAGGTGCATAATTCTTATTATATTCATGTATAATACCCATTAATTTGTAAATGTACAAATTATAAAAAAGATTTTGTATAAACCGTACATCACACGGGTTTTAACCTAATATTATTCTAAACTTAGAATCCAATCAAAAGTTTATTTTTATGTTACCTTACGCCAATATCCAAGAGTTGGGGTTACGCAACCCATCTTCTAAGCCATGGTGACCTTCGTGCCTGGAATTTATTCCTACTCAAAAGTGAATGGGAGGAAAAAAAAAAAGAAGAAGAAAAAGAAAAAGCGCTTAGTCATAAATCACTTTGGGATTTTACCCTAAAATGATTTAACCTTTCTAATATCGAGCAATATGGAAACTTGTAATAATAACATATATTTGCGTGGAGACTTTCCTAACAAATTTTTTCACCATGTAGCATCTACCAAATAGGCCGTTAAAACTCCTCTCAAAGCGTTGCTAAGATGAGATATCATATCGTTTGCTTCATAAAATCCATCATCATTAATTAACAAGGTTTCATCAAAAGTCCAATCAAATAAAATCTAAAGATTTGACGCCTTAATAAATTGAAAGACCTATATTGGAACTTCCAACACTTGCCAACTTTATCCTTTGTTTATTAGTCATGTGAAAGAGATGGATGATTGAGAATTTGAGGTGCAATAATAAAATGAAATTTCCAAAATTATAAATACTGTCAAAAGGAAGGTTCACAGAAACTCCATTGCCAAAGAGATGATGATATTCCCATTAACCAATTGCCAATACATTTCATGATGCTTACGTTTTAACCAATAAAAATTCCAAAGTCATCTACCCCACTAAATGCTGCTGCACCTTCCTAGAAACCTGTTAATTCTGTACTCTTCATATTCAACCTGTACACACAGTTGCAACCAAAGCTATATATAATAATCTCTAAAAATGTCATTGTTTTGAGTATTCCTATTTGTCCAAATTCAAATATTGTTGTATTTGCTCCAAGAGAATGGAAAACTGTAAGAATGGATCTAAGGATGTCACAGAGTATGAGGATCTCTTACCGGTGATGGCTGACAAGCTTGATGTCGAGGCGTTTGTATCGGAGCTGTGTGGAGGGTTTAGGCTGTTGGCAGACCCGGAGAAAAGGATGATCACGTCTGAGAGCTTGAGGAAGAACTCGACGCTTCTTGGAATGGGGGAAATGAGTAGGGAGGATGCAGAAGCCATGGTCAGAGAAGGCGATCTTGATAGGGATGGAATGCTCAACGAGAAAGAATTTTGCATTCTGATGGTAAGGCTCAGCCCTGGGATGATGGAAGACGCCGAAATGTGGCTTGACAAAGCAATTGAAGAGGAGCTTCGATCACCCTCGGCTTAGATTAGTGACTTCAGATCAGTTTTATGTAGGTAACATTGTATTACATGCATGAATAATGAATTGTCAATGTTGACAAATTTTCATCCAAAGATAATCTCAGAATTAACATTGCTTTTGTTGGCTGTTTAGTACTCCCTTCGTTTCCATATGATAATCTCATATGGAATCAATCACATAAAATAAGAAAAGAAGAATATTTAGAATCTAATATTAAAGTACAAAATAATTCATAATTAGCTTACATTATTTAAGTTTTTTGATTTTTTTTTTTTGGGAAAGTATAAATCATAATTGCATAATTTAATGTAGAGATTTCCTTACTTTGAACCATATAATCAATCCACAACCAATTAATTCCAAAAAAATTAAGTTAAAAATAAAACATATTCAATATGGGTAGATCTTTTTAAAACGCCAAAAATAGCATATGGGACTAACATTATGAAACGAAGGGACTAACATTAAGTTCTGCACAAAACCTATTGCAAATGGTGGCATTGAGTATAACAGTATCCGATAAGGCAAAATCTAATACTACTATTTGAAGTACAAAAAAAGGAATAGAAAAAAAAAAAAAAAAAAAAAAAAAAAAAAAAAAAAAAAAAGAGAGAGAGAGAGAGATACCAAAACCATGATATTTCACATAAATATTTGTCTAAGTTTCACAAAGAAATAGACCAAATCCATTAATATTTCACAAGATGTAGACTAGTGTCATTGATGTTTCAATCACAGAGATATAGACCAAAGTATTCCACATAAGATATATTACAGGATTCTAAACGAGAGCATAACAGTCAGCAAGTGCGCTTCAAAATTCCAAATTCCTCAAACTAGATACTTCTAAAGTTCTCAGAGAACAATAAGCCTAGTACTTTCATATCCTACATGATGAAGTGCTTGAAGCTTCAAGTTCTTGACCTCCGAATTGGTGATCGGCTGTGATAAGGATATAATAATGATCAGTAAACAATTCATCTTGTTAAAAACTTGGTTAACAATCAAAAGACATTTCACCTTGATAAAAACTTGTGAACAATCAGTACTTTCAATAGGCACTTCACCTTAATAAAAACTTGACTACATCGTGAAAGACCTACCTGCGGTATCGAATATAATCAGGAGTACGCCTCCTCTCATAAGCTGGACCATCATATCGATCATAAACAGGGCTACGAGGTCGACCATAGTCAGGACTTGGCCTACTGCGACGAAAATGTGGACTTGGGGAGCGCCGCAGAGGGCTCCGGCCATAACCTCTAGGGCTGCGAAGCCTGTCATCTCTCTCATCGTCATCGCGGAGGGCATATTCAACTGAGATTACCCTGTCCAAGAGCTTGCTGCAAAGTTGACGATTAAGCATGATATTGATGGCTAGTACAAAACAAATAATCAACTTAAATAAAAAGAAATCTAAATAACCTCATGTTGGTGTGTTCAAGAGCCTTAGTAGCATCTTCCTGAGTTTCAAACTGCACAAATGCAAAGTTCCGCCTAATTCTGACGCTCAAAATCTTTCCGTAAGGTTCAAAGTGTCTCTCTAGATCCCGATCACGTGTTCTTATTTGATCAAAGTTAATGACAAACAAGGTCTTAGTGACTCTTCCTCCCTTGGATCCATCACGGGCCTTACCCCTTTCACCCTGCAGCAATATATTGCAAGCCACATCATAAACAGCCCTATACTACTACAAGGAAATCAATTTAAATTCCCCATTTTTTGGAGTATCTACTCTATCTAGTTATGTGGAGAACAGGCAAAGTTTTTGTCCAGCAGAGAAAAAAGAGTGTCTGTCAAAAGAGTAGAACAAATATAGGGAAATTTTAACAAGGGAAATGTGCATGCAAAACAGTAACATACCTTGGCCCACTCCACTGACAACCTGCGCTTGTCACGACCAAACGGAACATTGTCAAGAGCACGAATGGCATCATCCGCATCACGTTCATCTTCGAAGTAAACAAAAGCAAACCCTGCATAAAGAAAAAATAGTAAGCAGAAGAGCTACCAAGCTGTTGGTTGGCACTACAGCTATGACATAGGAGTTACTTCAGCCAAATGATGATTTTTTTGCCATGCAGTAACTTAAGAAAATACAACACCTGAACAAATGTGTAGGTCTGATGCACTTAAGGATGTAGAAGCGTGCAGGATGACTAAATCAAGGTTGGCATATGGTTGACAATATAAAATTCAAAATCCAAAGTTTCAGACTGTCATTGCAAAATATTCTTCTCCAATTCATACAGCACGATTTCAGGATAAGAAGCATGGCAAGACATAAATCATTGAGCCCGGAATGATGAAATGTGGTGTGCATGGCATGATTTGACTGAGCCAAGGATGATCATTCTTGTAAAAAAGATAACTCAAAGCAGTGTAGAGTGAAGGATGGATGATCAGGTTGAAGAAAATGCAGTACGTTTCTATCTGATTTGTGGAAAGCACACAAGCACGAAAGCTTCCTTTCCATTAGAAGGAATTTGTGCAGTGTTGTAGAATCCAGATGGAAGCTCAGATTCCTGCGTCAAAAGAAACACTTAATATGGAGTATATCTCCAAACAAACTGTATACTTGCGGCTGACATCAATCCTGCCCCAGTGGAAGACTGAAATTTTACACCATAATATAATCTATTCAGCCATACCCAGAGTCAAAGGATAGATGTAACTATGCCAGTATTTCAAGGAAAGGATGTTGTTATTATTTATATTGTAACAGAAAAGGTCAATATAATGCAATACTACTATAGTTCAGAATAGTAAAACATTATCATAATTAGGTCTAGGTTTAGTATGCAAGCCTAATGGTCCAGACAACAAAGGAACTAAGCCAACTACATATAGACTGACACATATTATGCTCATATGTTTACTAGCAGTACTGGACAAATTTCCACAAATGCATGGGAAACAAGTATGAAATTTAAATGATAAACCTATCATACACTAAGTTACCCTAACTCTCCATTGATAATAAACATCATATTCATAAAAATTCAAAATGAGTATTGGACAATACCCACAGAAGCACTAGTGCGCAAGTCTGAAAATTGAAACAGGTAGCTTAACATAAACTAGGTTGCTCCAACCCTGTATGTCATCACAGCCTCTGAAGTACTTGTGCTGGAAATTTGACACTGTACTATAGGCAGAAAACACATGCCAATATTCCACAGACTTCAAAAACTTCAGCTAGCCATAAAATCAGCCGCATATTGGATATACACTAATTATGCTCATAATTTCATAAATAAGCATCAGATAATGACTTGAAAAGAATGAACAAACAATTCCAGCTAAAAAATGTTGGTATTTGCTAACAAATTAGCATGTCCTGATATCCTCATGATTGCATCCACTCTTTAAAGTATGATCCCCAGGCCCTAAATCTTGAGCCGTGGTGTTTCAACCACTTGGATATGCAATCGTAAATGATACTAATAGTCTACTACACTTCATAAAAGTATCAAACCTACAAGTAAATGTGAACTCCTTAAGCTGCAATTATAAAATTCAAGCGCGACATTGCCAACATGCGAATGATTCAGTGAAACTACGGAAGATTCTACCACAGTAAGCATATTTGCATGCGTGATAGCAATCTCAGGACTAAAACCAAAACATAAGATCTAATAGACCACTTTCACCAGCAGTCACGAGAACTCGACTCGAATAGTCCAATGTAGCACACAACACAAACATTAAACACCAGCAGATCAAGATGAAAGTTTAAACTAAGCTCAAATCAAAATGCTCTAATTTCACAAAAACAGCAAAATTTATCAAATAAAAAGCCACATTACTCCATACATTCCGTTTCTCAGGATTGAAAGTTTGAAACCAAAATTATACGTGAATTCAACAAACTAAGTCACAAATAAAATTAAAAACTAGTAGAAGTAATTTCGGAGCTTCAACCTGCAAAAGAATTGACAAAATAAAGGGAAAATTGACAAAAAAAAGTTAAATGAAATTACCAGATTTCATATCAACGCGTTCAACTCTGCCATACTTGGAGAAAAGTCGCTCAAGATCAGTTTGACGAGTATTGTACTCGAAATTTCCAACGAAAACAGGCCTCATCGTTCTTCGATTGAAACGCTAAAACTGCAGATATTATCAGCAAAATTGGTTAAATAAACATCGATTAAACTCAAATTACAGTCAAAATAATTGATTTTTCAAAATAGCAAACGTTGATTTAGCGTACCTTCGATAAAACTCAACGGAAGATGAGAAAAACCCTAATTGCAAATAGTCGATAGTTGTTTAGGGGAAAAAGAGATTAGGAAATGTTAGACGCGTGATGACGTTAGTTAAATAGGCCTGCTAAAAAAATGCCCAAATTTCCCAACAACCTGTAATAATTGTTGGATTAAGCATAACTGGGTTAAAATCCGTGCAATGCACATTTATGAACGGTTGTTAAATATTTTTGACGATAATATTACAAAATTTAAAGTATATGAAATATATGCAAAAATATTTCATTTGGTATATATGGAATATGATTGTCAAACTGAAAAAGAAAATATCATAAGGTATAAATAGTATACTTAAAGATTTTGCGCGCAAAAAAAAAAACTAAAAAGATGGGAAAATTTTTCATAAGCTAATGATAAGTGTCATTTGTTATTCGCATTTAGTATAAGTTAATAGATTTACTAATTTGTGCCAATAACGGTTTGTTTAGTCACCTTGATTCTTAGCATGCGTAGTTGCGTACTATGCACTTGATTTCTATTCATCTGAATTTATCACATTTTATTTAAAATAGACGTTAATGGATGCTCGTGCTACACGTGACATTGATAATGTAGAAGAGCAAATAGGTTTTTTTTTTTTTTTTTTGGAGTTTGCCTTACTCGGTTCACCGAAACAAGTCTCCAAACAAGAGTTTCCGCATTCGATGAAGCTCAAACTCGAGACCTCCCTTAAGCGACATCAAGCGGCTTACCACTTGAGTTAACTCTTGTTGGTAAGCAGGGTTATATATGTGCAATAAAAATTTAATTTTGACATATTTACTATGGGATTGTTATATACGGTTAAATTTGCTGACTTGCTAAAGGTAGAATAATTCAAACAAAATTAGTTATATTAATTCCTCTCAAACTCTACTCAAATTATAATCAAGTAAAAAAATATAGCTACCGAAACAATTGCAATCAAAGTTTGTGGCCAATAAAAGCAAACTACGGAGTACTTAGTTAGATTTGCAATTATTCGCTTATAAAACTCGCATGATACATTCTCCATAATTTGTCAACCATGAAACTATAATCGACTAAAAAGTAGTTAATTAGAGATGGAAGTCTATTAGGATCCTTCATATCCAACTTCGTACTTCTGAGTTCTGACTATGCTATATCCATCATCGCCCATTAAATTTTACCCATTTTTTATTATCTATCTTCACGTAAGACTTTTTTTTATACTAATACTTCATCCCCAAAGTCATTTGAACCCACTTATAACTACTCATAAAATAATAATAATAATAATAATAATAATAATAATAATAATAATAAATAAATAAATAAAATAAATAAATAAAAAAACAAAACTTGTTGCGCTAATCATTATTGATGATGTTGAGCAAGCATGATTTAATTTATTTTTAATTTTAACCTCAAACTTAGACTTTTCTAGCCACATTTATTATCACACGAGTCTTATTAAAAATTCTTGTTTTCGGAAAAGATGCACATACAATAAACAATCACAAGCGGAAGGACAACTATCTCATTTTCCCGAATGTGTTGTAGAATGAGAAAGTATTACCAATCTTGAGCAAACACAATATGGACAACAACAAGCAAATCTAAATAGCCCAAATACAATAAAATAAAGCACACAAAGATATACGTGGAAACCCAACCCGAGATAAAATCACGAGTACCGTAAGACGACACCAAGCCCTTCCACTAATCAATAAAATTAATGGGTACACCAAATTAACCTTCCCTAAACAATGCTAGAGGCTAAACGTCAAACAACAAGTTTGGAACAAACCATTCTCCATATACATCACTAATAAGTGGATAAACTCAATTCTGGAGAGATTAGAGCTAAATAGAGATTTCCAATATTCGGAGCACAAAACGACAATCCGACCATTGGATATATAGCATGGGATGGCAGGAACTTTGTGTCAAAATTTGGAGTCGATCGGGCAACGTTTGACCATCCAACCGAGCTAAAAACCGTAATAGCTTTTATGGAAAAATTTCGCTTCTCCTTCTCTGCCTTCCTCTATTTTGTGCGTGGGATTTGTGTGGCTTGTTGTGTACTCTTTGTTCCAGCTGCACACTTTTTATTTCAACCCCCTTTTTTGTTGGATATTTAGAGTGTTGATGGTTACGCAATCGCGACCATGAAGGAGCGCTCGCGCAAGTTAAGCGCGGCCGCGCAGAGAGCGGCCTAAACCGCATACCTCTCTGGAATTTGGAACTTTGGAAGGGCGCGTCCAAGTGGTGCGCCCGCGTGCCCGGTCGCGCCTAAACCGCGCCCCCTTCTGCCTTCCTGTGGAAATTTCGCATTTCTGATGAGGAGCGCCCGCGCCTCCCTGTTTTGCGGTTTTTTCTAACGGTTGAGTTTTTATTAAAAGGCTTATTTTCGTGAAGAAAAGTAGACTGATTTTCTTCTTCTCCCCAAGCAGTATTCTCTACACTTTTCTCTCAAATTTCTTGCAAACTTTTGTGAGAAAACTCTTTCAATTATTCCAAATTTTGTGAATTTGTCATCTTTAATTCGATTCTTAGTGTAAAGAACGATTGGCTGTCGTATGTATCTCAAAGAGTATTTCCGGATTAAACTCAAGCACCGTTGTGGGGGAAATTATACTCTTTAGGAAAGTGTTCACACGCCTAAGACATTGTATCAGGGATTGAGACTCAAGTGGTCATAGTATTTCTCATGTTCATGTTCGTTCTCAAAGGCTTGGAGTAGAGGCAAGTGTAATATCTTTCACATTAGTGTATTTCTTAGTATTTTTTGTAATACTTTGATAATTTGGTGTTTGGTTGTAATATTTTGAATAATATTGATTGTTGTATAATCTAGTTGAATTATACTTCATTTTAGGTTTTGTTCCCACATTTATTAGTAATTCTTGTCTTGAATTACTTGAAAACCTAACATTTTTTACTGACTTACTCTCATTTTACTTCATATGGGCCCAAGAGTAAATAACCATATGGTTATACCACTAAATGGGTTTCATCCTCCAAGTAGGAGGGAACAATCCCAACACTACTCAAAATTATACTTCACAATGGGAATAAACGCACCCTTAAACTTTATTCAGGGTTTGTTCTGTTCACCTTATTTTCACTTATTTCAGGTCTAGCTAATAAGTTCAGTTCAAGAAATTAAGTTTTGATAAGAGTTATCCAAGTTCAAATTACATCTAAAATAAGTTTTATTAAGTTCAGATAAGTGAAAAAATCAGGTGAATAGCACCCTTACATGAGTTATTACTTCCTTTGATGGTCATTGACTCAGGCCCTATTCTTTTGAGTTGTTCTGCTCTGCTCTACTCTGCTCTGCTCTGCTATGCTTATAAATAATTAATAATAATAATAATAATAATTATTATTATTATTATTAATAATAATATTTGATAATAATAACTAATATTTATAGATAATAATAATTAATATTTAATAATAATAATTATTGATATTTTATATTATTTAACACATTTTCTAATTTTATTAAAAGAGTAAATAAATCAAATAATAATAATAAAATAATGCGATAATAATAATAATAATAATAATAATAAAAATAAAAATATTAAAAAAAATAAATAATAATAATAATAATAATAACACAACAACAACAATACAACAATAATAATAAATAATAATTAATGATAATAATGCGATTTAATAATGCTAATAATAATAATAATTATGCAATAATAGTAATAATAATAATAATAATAATAATAATAATAATAATAATAAATAATTAATGATAATGATGCGATAATAATAATAATAATAATAATAATAATAATGAAATCCGCTCTGTCTTGCATTACTGAAATCTGCTCTACTCTGCCCAGAAGCTCAAAAGAACAGGGCCTCACTGTGCAACATATATTTTCCCTATATTTTCATGCAAAACAACTACTGTACAAATTAAAGTATAAAGCAAGGGGTATTTTTTGTTTATTTAATTTTCAATTCTTTTCTATTCGATACTTCATGACAATTTAAATTCACCTTTTGTGTAAAACTGTAAATGATGAGCCAAATGCCTTCTTAATTACCAAATACAAAATTAGCCGCGAACAAGATAACTAATACTTCGATAAGTCTTTACTTGAAGTACTAAATTACCTCACTTGTACTATATTGTACGAAATATGTCAAATTATTTGGAGCTTAAAAATTATTTTATTGTTACTCCATAGTCGTACGGATTAATGTATGATCATTTGATTGTAACCGATGACTGTCAAAAGAGGTTGTGCCACGCTTAATGTCAGTGAGAAGGAATTAAAAGAGACTTATCTCATTAATTGAAGCAAACATCAAACTTTTATCGGTTTTTGCAAGTTTTTTTTGCCCTCACTTGTTTAACAAGTCAAAAAATCTTAGTATGTAATTAGGATCTTGCTAACAAGTGTTCTGGGACGTTAGATAACTAATTAATATATTACTTAAAATAGTATTAAGTTCGGAATGCATGAAAAAATCACGCGTTGATCGGTTAATTAATGTTAATTTTACTTAAATATTTCCACATTTAGTTTTCTTATCTAACGCCTCGGGGGTGCTCGTTAGCTTTTGTCATGTGATTAAATTAATCTTAAATGTCTTTTTTTAAAAAAAAATCTTAAATGGCCCACAACCCATAGTTTCTACTTAACCCTAGATAGCCATTGCCTATTATTACCCATTATCACAAGTTTTCACAAATTTATTTATCTCGAGATTATCAACTTAATTATTTGTTTGAAACAAATGAAAATAAGGTGAACATAACATGATTTCATTGTGAGACTTATAACCATGAATAATCCAAATGATCTCACTTTAACAAGAGTTTACTTGATAATTTTATTTTTTTCCTTATACATTAGTACAAAATACGATCAAGTTTAATATATACTTTCCTATCTCTTTTTAAAAAAATTGAGATAACTCTTATGAAGTGTTTGAATAATTATAGTCTCTCAAATATTTATTTACTTATTTGCCCAAATAAGTTCTAAATTAAGAAACCGACTTCGATCAAGTTGTTTCATAAACTATTTATTACTTATTTCTATCAGGATTAGAATAAATTATACTTCGGACTATATACCTCGTATCTTTCTCTAATTGTTTACAGTTATATTAATTAAAATCATAAAATCAGCCGAAGACTTTACTCAAAATCTCATTTCTATTAGCTAATGCATACTCTGCATTAGATCATGCTAATTCGCATTACTTGGTCCAAAGTGTGTATGGTAGAATATACTTATTTCCTGATCTTGACTAAGGAAGTTTCCCGGAAATATAACCAATGGTAATTAATTATCAGAAGTTGTTGAAAAGCGACTTGAGATCGATGAGTTGAACAGTAGGCAGCAAGTTTTGTTTCATTTTTAATTAATTTCATTATATATGTGATGCATACGATATTTAAACTTATCTGATTTTAGGGGTGTATTTCATTTATTTGATTTTCACTTATTTAAACTTATCTTATCTTGTCTGAATTTATTTGAATAACCTATTTAAACTTGTTACTCTCTCCGTTTTTTTATAAGCTAGAGTTGGAAAATTTCACTATTCATAGATCATAATTGACTTAATTTTTTTTTACCAATATATAATATATATCATATAATATGTTGTTGGATTTGTCATAATCTCTACTTTTATAAATTATTTTTTTCTAATTTTTACTAACTTTTAATTAAAGATATTAATGGTCAAAGCTGTGTCTTGGCAAATGTGTAAATCCAACTCTAGCTTATAAAAAAAAACAGAGAGAGTACATCTTATCAAAACTTATTTTAGTTGTAATTGATGACCTTTTCATAACTTATTTTCTTTATTGAATTTATCTTATCCGAATTTATAAGACTTGAAATAAGTGAAAGTAAGGTGAACAAAACAAGACTTTACATACCACATTTTGTCACTTTAAAATTCAACTTGACATTCACTGTTTATATCTAATTCAAATGGACCAAATAGACAAGATTACTTCAAAAAAATGAATTTTCTCAGATGTATCAGCATATTAAAATTATCACCATTTTAAAGAAATCGGCAAACAACACTGCAAACTCTTAATTATTGAAACGTAACTTCGTAGTAATTAGTACTTCTATTCTGCAAAATCACATACATAAAGGTTTGTGGGAGGGAGTCTTAAATGTGTCAATTTTGTCCCTTATATCGGGTTATCAAAGAGATTACAACATATTAAGAAGTAATTTTCATAATATATGTGGGCTGAACTTTATTTTAAAGGGAATTATTTCTAAATGCAAAAATAAGATATTTCCGTTACAAAACAAGTTAAAAGAAGAACGTTGTATTAATTTGTCATATAATAAGAAACAAATTATTAAGTGTTTTTTTAATTCTAATAAGGACACAAGGATTTGGTACTTCCAAATTGAAAAAAATGACCTTCCTCCAATCCAATAATAATATAGGGTTGTCAAGCAACTATCCAATCATTAATTAAATCGAAAGACATAAACAACTTCCTTTTCACCCTTCTAAAGTGCTGCAATTGGTGGCTTGGTGCCCTTAAATTATTAATGTCCAACCATCTTAAAGACCAAAAGTACAACTACATTTTATATTTTCATCTTTCTTGTGATAATAATGTCAACAATATTATGGAGGGTATTATTGTCAATTTAGAACATGCTTACCAACTTTTTCAAAATTTAAACTGAATTTTTTTTTTTTTTTTAAAAAACCATTACCCCGTAACATGAAACAACACAAAAGCTAAAGTTCAAAGAAACGAACCATCCTCGACAGTTCCTAAACTTGCAGATTTTCCTTTTTTATTTTTATTTTTTAAGATTTTTGTTCTTTCTTTACAATTTTACCTTTTTTTTTTACTTCATCAGAATGCTTTGTATCCAAGCTACTCTATGACATAGAATCACTACCTAATTCTTTTTAGGAATCCTTTTTTTTTAAAAAATTAATTTTGTCGTTACTTTCATTATTTGTTTTTACCTTTTTTTTTTTTGCTATATATTGGTTACAAAATTTTCCTATTTTGTTGGACCAAGTAAATTTCCATGGTGTTTCCTCTGTTTTCCTGGCAAGTATTTTCTTTTTCTCATTTTTTGTTTTTACTAGAATTGTGTAATTGTTGATTTCTTTTATGGGATTTGTTCATATTTTGTGAATTTAACATAAAGGTGTAAACTTTTCCTTCATTAGCAAAGTTTAGAATTTGAATTTCAAAGGTAATGTTAGTTATTATGTTAATACGACTTTTATTGGTTTGATTATGACATAAAAACTGTTTTTGACTGAGTTACGTTTGTGGATTCTTCACGTTGGTTTGGTTTGACATTTTAATCAGCACAAAGACAGAATTAATTGATTATAATATAAAATTGAAATCAGTTTGAAAATCAAATATACTATATGATCTGAGTAATTTTCCTTTTTTGTATGAACATTAATGCAGGAGAAAAAAAGATGGAATTTTAAGAATTGTAAGTTAAGAAAGATCGAGAATCTTTGTTGGGTTGTGAGTTTGCAATGGTAGCAATAACATCAATGGAAGAAAAACCATTTCCTGCTTGGTCTTGGTCTTGGTCTGTTGAAAAATGCTTGAAAGAGTACAATGTCAAACTAGACAAGGGTTTGGGTAGTTATGAAGTTGAAAAGCGAAGGGAGAAGCATGGTTGGAATGAGTTAGACAGAGAAAAAGGGTAGCCTCTATGGCATCTTGTGTTGGAACAATTTGATGATATGCTTGTAAAGATATTGATCACGGCCGCGTTTATCTCTTTTATACTTGCTTATTTACATGGCCGGGAGTCCGGTGAGACCGGTTTTGAGGCCTATGTTGAGCCTTTTGTAATTGTGTTGATCCTTATTCTTAATGCCATTGTTGGGGTATGGCAAGAGACTAATGCAGAGAAAGCCCTTGAAGCACTGAAAGACTTGCAGGGTGAGTCTGCAAAGGTTGTAAGAGATGGTTATGTTATCCCGGACTTGCCTGCAAAGGAGCTAGTCCCGGGTGACATAGTTGAATTGCGAGTAGGAGATAAAGTTCCTGCTGATATGAGAGTTGCTGCTCTGAAAACCTCGACTTTGAGGGTTGAGCAAAGCTCATTCACAGGAGAATCTATGCCTGTTCTGAAGTGCACTTTGCCTGTTTTCCTAGATGACTGTGAATTGCAGGCAAAGGAGAACATGCTTTTTGCAGGCACGACGATTGTCAATGGGGCTTGTCTTTCTATTGTTGTTGATACTGGGATGAAGACTCAGATTGGTAAGATTCAGACTCAGATTCATGAGGCCTCATTAGATGAGAGCGAGACTCCCTTGAAGAAGAAGCTCGACGAGTTTGGTAGTAGGCTTACTACTTTCATTGGAATTGCTTGCTTTCTTGTTTGGGTTATTAACTACAAATACTTCTTATCATGGGATGTTGTGAATGGATGGCCAACAAATTTCCGATTTTCTTTTGAGAAGTGTACGTACTATTTTAAGATAGCTGTTGCCCTTGCAGTAGCTGCCATTCCTGAAGGCCTATCTGCAGTCATCACAACCTGTTTGGCTTTAGGCACAAGGAAGATGGCACAGAAGAATGCAATAGTTAGAAAGCTGCCTAGTGTAGAAACCTTAGGATGTACTACCGTTATTTGCTCGGATAAAACAGGCACTCTGACAACCAACCAGATGGCTGTGACCGAGTTCTTCACTCTGGGAGGAAAATCTACAACTTCACGAGTTTTTAAAGTTGACGGAACTACATATGATCCAAAGGATGGAGGAATAGTGGACTGGAATTGCTATAATATGGACGCAAGCCTCCAAGCTGTGGCAGAAATATCTGCTGTCTGCAATGATGCTGGGATTTTCTGCAATGGTCGTGCTTATCAAGCCACTGGTTTGCCTACTGAAGCAGCACTTAAGGTTTTAGTCGAGAAAATGAGTGTTCCTGATGCTAAGGTGAGGAACAAAATCCGTGACATGCAGTTTGCTGCAAACTACATGATCGATCGTACTTCAGTCAAACTTGGTGAGCAATTTGTCTTCTTGTCATATTATCTTTTTCTTTTGCTTTATTGTAGTAACATGAATTACAGAAATGGCCTCCAACAACACTACAATAGGGTCTTAGATACAACCTTCCATGACCCCCCAACTTGAATCAGTCCCTTACCATTCGGGGAAAGATGGAAGCTTCAACCAGTGCTCCATTCCCTGATTCTTTCTGGTTGTCATAAACTAGACTAGAGTTCAGTTGTAAAACTTTGTGTACAGGACATGGTGGATTTTGATTAATTAATAGAATATTACTAATCTAAGTCTCTTCATGGGCAGTTTGCTGTGACTGGTGGGCAAAGAGGTCAAAGAGGTTGGCTACACTGGAGTTTGATCGATTTTGCAAGTCTATGAGTGTCATTGTCCAAGAACCAACTGGTCAAAACCGTCTACTTGTTAAGGTGAGTTACATCAGCTGCTAGCTTATAGTTTCTCATTTGCTGTAAACTTTTCCTGAAATTAAAAGCAAGGAATTCACAGGGCGCTGTTGAGAGCTTATTGGAGCGCACTTCACATGTTCAACTAGCAGATGGATCAATGGTTCCAATTGATGAATCCTGCAAGCAATTGTTGCTGTTGAGACAGTTTGAGATGAGCTCAAAGGGATTGAGATGTCTGGGACTGGCATACAAGGATGACTTGGGTGAGATTTCTGATTACTCCAATGCAAGTCATCCAGCCCATAAGAAGCTCCTTGATCCTGCTTGCTACCCAGAAATTGAGAGCAACCTTGTTTTCGTGGGAGTTGTTGGTATAAGGGTGAGATTTTCTTTTCACATAATGATTGTCCTTCGTAGTTACTGCTTCAAATTCTTCCCTATACTCTTCTAAGGCTTAAAATGGAACAGGATTCACCTCGTGAGGAAGTACCACAAGCAATGGGTGATTGTAAACAAGCAGGGATTAGAGTGATTGTCATTACTGGAGACAACAAGTCTACAGCTGAAGCCATCAGTCAAGAAATCCAGCTGTTTGCTGACAGTGAAGAACTGAAGGGAAGAAGCTTTACTGGCAAAGAATTCATGGCACTTTCCTCTTCAGAACAGATTGAAATTCTAACTAGACCTGGAGGGAAGGTTTTTTCTCGCGCTGAGCCTAAACACAAGCAAGAAATTGTTAGGATGCTAAAGGAGAGCGGAGAGATTGTTGCTATGACCGGAGATGGTGTCAATGATGCTCCTGCTTTAAAACTTGCAGACATTGGAATTGCAATGGGCATTTCTGGAACTGAGGTACACACATTCTTCTCCTTGCCCAGAAGGAAATCACAATTAATTGAACTCTACATTGAACTTCACTTGATTCTTGACACATCCAATTAAAAAAGACATCAAGTCCATCTATTTTCATATTTGTGTACTAAAACTAAAATTACACAATGATCCAGGTGGCAAAAGAAGCTGCAGATATGGTGTTGGCTGATGATAACTTCAGTAGCATAGTTTCTGCTGTTGCTGAGGGTCGCTCAATTTATAACAACATGAAAGCTTTTATTAGGTACTATACAGCTGTGCTTCATATTAGCATCTACAAGCTTTATCTTTGGATCGGTTATCAATGTTCAAATCCCTTTTATCTATGTGCAGGTACATGATATCATCCAATGTCGGTGAGGTTATGTCCATATTCTTGACTGCGGCACTTGGCATTCCAGAATGTATGATACCAGTACAGCTTTTGTGGGTAAATTTGGTCACAGATGGCCCACCTGCTACAGCCCTAGGTTTCAACCCTGCAGATGTAGACATCATGCACAAACCGCCCCGCAAAAGTAATGATCCTCTAATCAATTCCTGGGTTCTCTTCCGATACCTGGTGCGTATTCGCAAACTATTTTCATACTTCGATTTTTAGTACTTTTCTAATCCCTTTCATACGGGGTATTCTCTCCCCTAAGGATCTTTAAGAGAGTCTTTATCTTAATAGCAAAAGGGACTCCTACTAGGTTACTGATGCTGCCACTCACACTCCCTGCATCAAAAGCTGCAGAGGAGCGAGGCCATATGTCATGAAGGATGCAAAACTTACTTATGTTTTACTGATGGTCTTGTCATTGTAACAGGTGATTGGGTCCTATGTTGGCTTGGCAACAGTCGGAATTTTTGTCTTATGGTATACTCAACCTTCTTTTCTGGGTATCAATCTCATAAGCGATGGCCACACACTCATACAAATGTCTCAGCTACAAAACTGGGGAGAGTGCTCATCATGGTCAAATTTCACTGCTTCCCCATTCACAGTTTCAGGGGGGCACATTATAAGCTTCACAAATCCATGTGACTATTTTTCAGTTGGTAAAGTGAAGGCAATGACCCTTTCACTTTCTGTTTTGGTGGCAATAGAGATGTTCAACTCTTTAAACGCCCTCTCTGAAGACAACAGTCTGATCACAATGCCACCCTGGAGAAACCCTTGGCTGTTGATTGCCATGTCTTTCTCTTTTGGGCTTCACTGTCTCATAATGTATGTTCCCATACTGGCAAATGTGTTCGGTATAGTTCCACTGACTTCTGCTGAGTGGTTATTAGTCATCATTGTTTCGGCTCCAGTGATCCTTCTTGATGAAATTCTCAAATTAGTAGGAAGGAGTCGACGAAAGATTTCAAAGGTGAAGGTGAAGGCAATGTAAGCCTTGTGTTCTGGTGCAATTTGAGAACTAACAGACTGAAGCCCTGCAATGGTATGAAAAGCATGGCACAATATATATAACTTTGTTTTTCCATATGATTTACGTCCTGTAGCATATGTGTAAATTTAGATTCAGTAGTGCTTGTCCATGTACATTTTAACAACAAAAGAATGTGTTTTTATTTTTTCTTTTCTATTTACTGCCTTTTACAGGCAAGTTAGCATAAAGTGAACGCTCAATGTTCCAAACCTAGCATGTATAAAAAATGCCTGAGTTTTTTCAGTGATTTTTCAGCTGTTGCATAATAAAGCTAAAATACAGTGGTGATGAGTTATATTTACCTGTGGGCAGTTGTATCAAAGCTCTACTTGCATATAGCATATGCTTTGAGTTACAATGACAAGTTTGCATATCAGCAAAAAAGTATCTGATCCATCAGAGGTCATAATTTCTTCCTGGCTTCCATTTGTATTTTGAAAGATCAACACCCTTATGTATGTCCATTGAAATTGTCAGATAAATTCCCCAAAACAAAAGCAAGACAAACGGTTAGAGCAACAAAAAGGACACAAGTAAATTTTGTTGTATTGAAATTTATGAAATTATGCAAGAGAAATTAATTAAGCATCCATTTCAGTTTCATCTCCACTGTAACTCTTCATTATCTCATGGTATACATTTTCCAGCACTGTGTATATCTCATATGACTTTGGATGTGATTTATCCTCTACAATAAACAAATGAATTTGATCTGCCTCTTCAATACTGCTATAGCCAGCTGCTTTTATGATTTGGCTTCCCTTCATCATCTTTCTCAACTTTGCCACCCCATCCCATCTTTTCACTGAAGCATAAATATTAGAGAGAATGACGTAATTCCCTGAATTCCACGGTTCAAGCTCAAAAAGTGCCTCTGCTGTCTTCTCTGCCACCTCGACATTACAATGGAAACTGCAGGCCCCCAAAAGGGTGCCCCATATCACAGAGTCGGGTTTCATTGGCATAGTCTGTATAAGGTTATAAGCTTCATTGAGCTTCCCTTTACGCCCTAGAAGATCAACCATACAACCATAATGTTCTAACCTTGGAATAATACCAAACTTATCCTTCATTGATGCAAATAATTCTTGGCCTTTAGCAACCTTGCCACCATGTGTACAAGCCATTAGAGCCGCAACAAACGTTATAGAATCGGGCACCATCCCTTCTCTCAACATTAAACGAAACAAATGAAGAGCTTCTTCATGTCTTCCATGTATAGCAAAACACATCATCATTGAATTCCAAGAGCACAGATTCTTCCTGTTTCGAATCTCATTAAACAACTGCATTGCTCTATCAAGTTTACCACATTTTGAATACAACTCCAACAAGGCATTGCAGACAAACAGATTATCCAAGTAACCGTTTCGCCTCGCATACTTTTCTATCCTCTCTCCAACCTCCAATGCACCAAGATTAGCACAAGCTGGAAGAACACTAGTTACACTCACCTCATTAGGCTCCAACCCTTCTTCCTTCACCATGGACAAAAAAGTGTTTAAAGCATTCAAATACTGCCCATTTTGAGAATACCCAGATATCATTGTAGTCCAAGAAATCACATTTTTCAATGGAATTAACTGAAACAATTTCTCTGCTTCCTCCATCTTTCCACACCTAGCATACCCAGAAAACAAAGAATTCCAAGTGGGTGTATCTTTATATTGCATATGATCAAATTGATTACGAGCATATTCTAATAAACCCAACTTAGCATACATATCAACCAATGCAGTTGTTGCAAATACATCAAATTTAAACCCAGATAAGATGAAATGAGCGTGGATCATCCTGCCAAGGTGAGGAGAGGAGAGCGAAGCGCAGGCGGCGAAAAGGAAGGTGAAAGTTTGAGGATTGGTGGAGCAATGGCGTTGATACATTTGGGTATAGAGGGAGAAACATTGTTGTTGAGGACCATGGCAAGCGTAAGCTTGAATAAGCTTGTTGAATTGAATGGTTGTTGGTTGAGGAATATGGTCGAACAGTTGGTGTGCATAAGAAATGTTGGGGATTTTGAAGAGCTTTTCGATGAGGATTTGAGCGTAATCGAAGCCATTTCGAAGGGAAAATGCGTGGATTTGCTTCACTTGATTCATAACAATGCTGCGATTTCTGGCATGTTCTTAACTTATACGGAGTACCGTCATTGGCAGCCAAGTGCAGTGAAGCTTACTTGAGGGTACGGTGTTTTGTTTTGTTGTCTCTATACTGTGTTTCGCTTATCTTAGGCATATATCATGGCAAAGTGAGAAATGTAGTTTATGTCAATTGTAGTCGCCTAATTGGTATATATCGTATGACTTTTTTTTATTATTTATTAATTTTTTAATTATTTATAAAATATTCGGTAATTATTTTTAGGTTTAAACAATAAAATGTTGATTGAATGTACTTTGTATATGTTATGATTCATGCACAACCCTTGTACGGAGTAATTAGTAAAGATAACTCAAATCGAAAAAAATTTTGAAGTGTAAAAGTAAATTGTTTCTCTTACAATTAATAGTAGTACAATTTTCAAACCAAAGTCAAAATTGCTAGATAAATTTCATTAGTAGAGTTGCATAGCTCGACTCATGTCCAAATCTAAACTCTTTAATTAGTTAAGTACTTATACAGTCGCTTATCAATAAAGTAATTCTACCCCAAAGAATAAAAAGTTGACTTGTCATGTGTTTTTATCTCCGAAAGTGTTATATACAAGTCCTATAATTAGCAGGAAAAAAAAAAGACTTGAACCCTACTTGGATTCCAAAGAGTGGTTTATGGTTGATTAGAGAATGACCATGAACATTGGAACACCATTAGCACTAGCACTAGCACTAATGTATGCTTTCAATTATAAGTTTCATGACTTTCACGTGATCACCTCACGTACTTTACCCACTTGAATGGAAAAAAGGAAAATCTTTTATATGAGCGAGATTGATCCTTAATGACCTTAAACCACAAGAATATTAGGTGAGAAATAATGTTACTACTCCACCACCTCAACCTCTCCTATCATATTCCGTATACACTCTTACGTGCTATGATACTTATAAATGTGTCATATTTTCGATATGTATCATACATGTATTAGATGTGTGCCACACTAAATGACGGTGAGTGTTCGTTAACACGAAAATATATAACCATTATTAGTTTTATAACTAACAATAACGCTTAATTACAAATAAGTCAAGACTCACAAGAGTCAAAACAAACTTTGTAAAAATATGATTCAGTAGAGTGAAGACACTCACAAGCACCACCACATTATTCAATATTACAACCAGAAATACCTGTCCATTATTCAATATTACAGCACAAAGTTCCAACACCTTCAAAATGAACATAAAATACTTAAATAGGAGTACATACAAATGCCAAACTAAAGAATTCTCTCCTCATGTAAACAAATGCTAATCAAACTCAAACCTTATTAATCAAAGTGTCAAACCAAAGCATGATCAAATAAACAAGAAGTTTAATTAACATTCCTCAAGTATTACATTTTCTAAGACAAAGCCAACCTAGAAGTTGGAGCATGAGAAATAACACCAGAAGTAGAAGTTAGCTGATGAAAAACCCTCAAAAACTCTTCAAGAACTTCTTTAACCAACTCAACACTTTGTCCTTTTTTAACCAACATCTTAACTAACCCAACCAAATGCCCTTCAAACTTAGCCTTCTCCATCAACTCCATAACCACTTCCCCCTTTTCTTTCTCCTCCACCCACTCATCCTTCATAAACATACTCACTTTCACATCGCTGTTTCGAAACACGAGTCTTAATAGCCTCCTCACGTCCTTCTCAACCTTCAAAACGGTACCGTTTCTTTGGGATATCTCCAAAAGCGCTGCGGCGTATCCACTTGCTGCTCGGCGGTGGATTGACGCGCGTGGGGGTGTTAGTCTTGCGGATGATAAAGGAGAGGGGGTCCTTTTTTGGGAATAGGAGGAGAAGAGAGGGGTAAAGTTGTCTTTTTGTGGGTGGGTGGAGATTGATGACGTGGAGGTGGTTTTTGCGGCGGAGGAAGGGTGGTGGTTGTGGTGGTGGGGGGATAGAAGGGAGGGTTTGAGGTGGTGGTGGGGATTGAATGGTTTAGGGACTTGCAAGTTCGTTGAAATGGAGCTTGAAAAGGTATCCATTTTTGTTAGGTTTGGTGGTTCAAAGATTTTCTATTTCCTTTTGTATATTTGTTCAATTGTTCGAGATAAGATTCTAGAAAATCGAGTTTTTTTTGGACAATTTCCAAAGAAATTAAGAAATAAAAGGAAAAGTATTCTTTATACTTTTGTATACAAAGGACAAAAATAAGAAAGGGTCACTTTCTTGAAGCTAAGTTGTCAATCTTCAAGGCTTCAAATAAATCATTTTCGTGAAGTGTTTGGCTACGTGTGTGCAATGTTTGTGGTTAAGATGTCAATATTGCAATTAATTAGTTAATTATATAATTAATTATTTTTGTCTATACACCATTGAAGTTTCTATCCAAAAGAAAAAAAAAAAAGTGTATTGGTGGATATATTTGAAGCAATAAGTATATGGAATACTCTAGAAATATTTGCTTTAATCATCACCATATACTTTTATATAATTATTATCCATGAGTGTAAATTAAAAAATTAAAAAATTAATATTATAAAAATATACTTCATATTGAATTATTTAAACAATTCTATTGTACTTTTTATTTTGTACAAGTACAAAAACAAAAAAATTTGCTCATTATAAATAAATGTGTATATGACTATTAATTAATACTCTCTTCATCTCAATTTATCCGGTCCTATATCAAATTTTTAATAATATATAGAAATAAAATTAGAATACCTAGATAGAAAAATTAGGGTAAGTAATTTGAAATGGAAATAGTATTTTCTCCCAAGAAAAACACAAAAGACAAAACCAATGAACAAAGAACAATGCGTTATTTTGTTGATCAAACAATTAAGAGTACTCCGTAGCCATTCAAAGGATCATAGGCCCATGGATCTAACATCGGTGTTTAGTGCAGGCTACGTTAATCAAATTATATGGGCTTCAGAATATGGCCTCATATGCATATTTATTATCAATATGATTGGGCCTAAGAGGTTTGTTTTTGTCCTATTGGTCTTTTAGGAGTCAGTCCAATTAAGTCTATTAAGACCAAGATATAAATGACCTTTTAATAAACCTAGATTAGCGAAGTATACCATATGTAAATGAGTGTTTTTATTGACTGAATCAACTTTGGTAGTCCAAATATCCTTCTCAAATTATAGCACGTCTTTGCTAAGAATAACATATGTAAGTTGTACCTTGTCGAAGCAATTGGAGAATGACTTGAATATTCAAAGTATAGTTTAGTAAGTTACTTTTTCCCAACGTTTTTTTAACAAAAATACTATCCATTGATTTGTGTAAGTTGTTCTTGTCAAAAAAAAAAAAAAGAGGTTTCTGTAAGCTGACTGGCTTAGAGATTTTGTATCTCCTCTTAGAAGACATTAAAATACATCCTCTTCCACCAATTTTAAACGCGTGACCTCCTAGGAGAGAGACTACTCATAAGAAAGCAAGGCAAATTCATGCGCATGCTATAATCAAATTAATCTTGATGCCATTTTTGGTGGTCTATTGACTCTAGAGAGTGTTCATAATTACATCTGAGACTGTGAGATTGAGCAAGGTAAACTGAACACATCTACTCCGCAATTCCGCTTACTTTGGGTAAAATTCACCTAATCTTATTTGACAACTAACACCTTTGGTTCAACACCTCATCACAGGTGTACCTAATCTTTTTGCTGCTTCATTATTATTTGTACTTATAATTCATTCTAACATGATCAATACACATGGGAATAGAGGTGTCCACCGTGCGAGTCGTGCGAGCTGGGTTAGGGTTAGGTGGGTCGCGGGTTGGGGTTTCATGACACACGGCACGACACACGTAGGGTAGGGTGGGCCAGGTCGTGGGTTGGGTCGGAGAAGTTGGACACACCAGGGTTAGGTTCGTGGGTTAGACGAGTCGTGGGTGGGTCGAGCTGGGTTTGTGGGTTAGACGGATCGTGGGTGGGTCGAGCTGGGTTTGTGGGTTAGACGGGTCATGTGTGGGTCGAGCTAGGTTCGTGGGTTGGACGGGTCAAGGTGGGTTAGTGAGTTAGGGTGGGTCAAAGGGTGGGTTAGTGGGTTAGGGTCGGGTGGGTTTGTGGGTTAGGTGGGTTAGGGTCGGGTGGGTTAGTGGGTTAGGGTCGGGTGGGTTTGTGGGTTAGGGTCGGGTGGGTTCGTGGGTTAGGGTCGGGCGGGTTGTGTGGTGTTTTAATTTTTACAAAATTAACAATTTGATGGCTTGCTCTTAATTAAGATGCCTACGTATCCTTATATTATAAAATAAGGAATCAAAGCCAGCGTAGTTCTTATATTGTACTTCTTTTGAAATTTGGGGGGGGGGGGCTTGGACCTATCTTTAGAAAACTAAAATTTAATTTTGCAATTAAATTGTAATTTTCGAAAAATAAGTTGCCTACGTATCCCGAAAGAATCAAAGCCCACGTAGTTCTTAGCGTACCTGATTTAGACTTTTCTAGCCACCCATGTTTGTTGCATCATCATCCCCGGAAGCTGCATCATCCGTTGACGACTCCAATATCATCACAGGATCATCTTCATCGTCTTCGTCTTCCTTTAAACCTTGAGTTCTTCTTTCAGCTTGATCCCAATCTTTCTTACAAACACAAATTTGAATGCTTTCCGGAGTTAAGCGAGATCTTTTTTCATCTAACACTCTTCTACCTGCACTAAAAGCAGACTCGGAAGCAACAGATGAAGCGGGAACTGCAAGTATATCTTTTGCAATTCTCGCCAATATAGGAAAACTTTTTTTATGTTCTTGCCACCATTTTATAATTTGAAAGTTGTTGTTGGTCTCATGTTGATATGACAAATAATCATTAATAGCAAGTGTTGAAGAAGATGATGATGAGAATGATGTAGATGCTTTGTGTTTTTTTTTCATAACTTTATCAAGAAAACCAAATCTAGAATCGGAAGTGCTAGTAGTAGTTGGTGTTGCCAAATCAAAACCATAAATAGATGCATAATGATCATAAAGGTCTCCCAAAACAGATTTGCATTTGTTAATATATTCACTAACATCATAATCGATACTTAAACTTGTATAATAAAATTCTAAAAGATTTTCCAAACCTTCAGCTTTGACACCGGGGTCAAGAATAGCAGCAATTCCATAAATGATTGGAAATTCACTAAAATAAGTATGCCACTTACGTTTCATGCTATCAAGAACGGGACGAAGTCCATCAATCTTCATATGCTCTTCGATGGTGTGAACAACTTTAACACACTCAATTATGACTAAATGAACGTTAGGCTCATAAATATAAGAGAAAATATGAGTTGCACTATCAAAAGCATTTAAAACATCACGAACAAAAGAAGCATTAGTCCAATGACTTTCGGTTATTAACTCAGTAGGATCAACACGAGTCTCATTGTAAAGTTGGGTCAAAATATCACGATACTTTATAGCATCACTCAACAACTTGAAAGTAGAATTCCAACGGGTAGGGGTATCAATAGACCATTGTCTTTTCTTAAGACCTCTCTCTTTACACATAGCTATGTACTTTCTTCTAACTGACTGAGTAATCCTAATCCATTTTATAACTGTTCTAATTGGGTTTAGCAATGGTTGCAACTCAGCGAGACCCTCTTGAACAGACAAATTCAAAATATGAGCACAACATCTAACATGCAAGAGACTACCACCCAACAACAAATTCAACTCGGAGTCATTTTTCAAATAGTCAATACACTTTGTGTTTGCAGTTGCATTATCAAGAGACAAAGAAAAAACTTTATTATTCAAGTGAAATTCTTTTAAACAATCCAAAATACGAACTTTGATGTTAAAACCGGTATGCCTTTCTTCCATAGCTTGAAAACATAGTATACGTTTTTGAATAAACCAATCATCATCCACCCAATGAGCAGTAATGCAAAGAAAAGGTTCGCCAAAACTAGAAGTCCATGTATCACTTGTAAAACTAACACGACCATCAAAAGTACGAAATAATTCAATCAAACCACTCCTATACTTATAATAAGAAGTTTGTGTATAACGTCTTAGGGTATTTCGGGGGACACGAGTAAATGCAGGTTGTAATGCAACTTTATTAAAATGCTCAACGTTTGCATTTTCACCGTAACTAAAAGGGTATTCATTAGCAATAACTAAAGTACTCATTTCATCAATCATTCTATCTTTATTATAAATGAAAGGTGTACCTCCGCCGGGTTGGTTCATGTATCCACCCAATTGTGTTTGGACGCCACCCCCCGAAGGACGGGGGCCATTTTCGAACAAGTCGTGTTTATTTTGCAAATGCCGACTCAAGGTTCCGGTTCCATCTCCCGTTTTCCAATTATATGACTTGACATTTGCACCTAGCGCCTTGCAAACTAGGCATGTACACGTGAACCTCTTTGGTTGACCAGGTTGCCATCCCGGGGGTGTGACCTCAACTCGTTCAAAATGTTTCCACACCCAAGAAAAATGTGCTCGACCTCTACTTTCACCGCCACCACCTTTCATAAATCAAATTATTAAAATTAATTTTTAAATGCTATTCATGAAAATAAGCTTTTAAATTTTAAATATTTTAATTATACTTATTTAAACGCATTTTTCATGGTAATTAACTAATTGTAAATCATAGAAAATTGGAAACTAAACTAACTTTATAATCATTAATAATAGTTTTTTTAAATATTCATAACAATAAAAATTTAATTAGAAATTACCTTGAGATGAAGGTTGAGATGTTGGTTGCGATGGAGGTGGCATAGTTGAACTTGATGATTGGTGGGACTCGTGGGAGAAATGTTGTGGTGGAGACGTTTGAATATTTTGCCTATCTCCTAAACCATAATCTCCATATTCATTGACAAATTGGTTTAAATTTTCCGTATTAATTTCATACGAAAAATTTGCACCACCACTCCTTTGGCTACCACTTCGACCACCACTTTGACTCCTTCCCATTCCTCCTCTTGAGCTCATTTTTTTTTTGTATGATTACTAATTATAATATGGAGAAGAACTTTTTTTTTTTAGAATCTTAAGAATACTAATAATAATATTAAGGAGATTTTTTTTAACAAAAATATAACTCTATATAACACTTGAGAATTTGAGAACAATAAGAATTTTTAAGTAAGAGAGAAAGAAAGCTTGAATTTGTGTGGAAATTTGAGTGAAATGGAATTGGT